ACACACACACACACACACACACACACACACTCTTTCCCCTGCGGGCAAACACGAAGACTGACAGTTGGGACAGAAGTGCTCCTTCCTGGTTATAGAGGTCAGGATTGGGTCCGAGCAGGGAGGTGACACTGAGGGAAAGTGACATCACAGAGACCAGAACAGAGCAGAAAACTCTGCTTGAGTGACAATTACATTTCTTTCCTTTCCTTCGCTGTCCAACAACATTGGTCTGGAGCAGGGGAGATATCAATCCCATGGTGCAGAAACAAGAAGGATGCCAGAAAACTGTCTGTCACTAAACACTGCTGTGCTGACTCTTTTAAGTTGTGTACTGTAGTAAAGATACTCACTAACTTTACAACACATACACACACATCATTATCATTAGCGGCAAAGTTCTGTTAAACATGTTCATTCTGTATGCACTGCACAACGTGCAAAACACACCAGTATCAGTTCCGGATGGCCGAACTGCCTCAAAGCCTATATACTTTACAGCATGCAGATTTCACCTCATAATCACACAATATAAAAACACATTCTTAAAAACATTTTGCACCACATTGTACATTATTCTGTATACATAAATAATTATCTGTAGTCAACTTTGAAGAATCCAACCTCACTACGTATTATTCCCCTTGTGGTTAGGCAAATTTTTGTAACATGATATGATTCATATGTTTGATATTGGGCATGCTTGATATTTTTTTTATCACTGAACAACCAAATTATTTGCTAATTGTGGGCATTGAAAACGTTACCATTCTGGCTCGGATGTAAAGGACATTTGTATTTGTATTTATTAGGGATCCCCTTTACTTGCTGCCAAGGCAGCAGCTACTCTTCCTGGGGTCCAGCAACATTAAGGCACTTACATCACACATTAAAAAAAAAGATAAAACAGTACATCAACATTATAACATTATTACACCACTACATATCTACAATACAAAATGTATAATACCACCATACAACAATATTACAATGTATGTGTGTGTAGACTGCTAGTGTGTGCGTATGCGTGTGTCTGTACCTGTGTGTGTGTCTCTTCACAGTCCCCGCTGTTCCATAAGGTGTATTTTTATCTGTTATTTAAATCTGATTCTACTGTTTGCATCACTTACCTGATGTGGAATAGAGTTCCATGTAGTCATGGCTCTATGTACCGTAATTTTCGGACTATAAGCCGCGCCTTTTTTCCCATTTTTCGACCCTGCGGCTTATATAACGGTGCGGCTAATCTATGGATTTTTACAGCTAACGGCCACTAGAAGACCTCCTAGGTATTAAACATTAAAACACCTGCGGCTTATAGTCCAGTGCGGCTTATATATGTACACATCATTCAATTTAGCTGCTGCGGCTTATACTCCGGTGCGCCTTATAGTGCGGAAAATACGGTAGTACTGTGCACCTCCATTGTCTGTTCTGGACTTGGGGATTGTGAAGAGACCTCTGGTGACATGTTTTGTGGGGTATGCATGGGTGTCCAAGCTGTGTGCTAGTAGTTTAAAACAGACAGCTCGGTGCATTCAGCTTGTCAACACTTCTTACAAAAACAAGTAGTGATGAAGTCAATCTCTCCTCCACTTTTGAGCCATGAGAGATTGATCTATTAATGTTAGCTCTCCGTGTACATTTAAGGGCCAGCCGTGCTGCCCTGTTCTGAGCCAATTGTCCCTCTTTGTGGCACCTGACCACACGACTGAACAGTAGTCCAGGTGCGACAAAACTAGGGCCTGTTAAGGCAGAGCAGCGCTTTATTATGGACAGACTTCTCCCCATCTTAGCTACTATCAACATGCCAATCAAATGGACAGGTAGACAGAGGGGACAGAGGGGATGGATTCTTGCAGCTCTTATCTTTCTCTCCATCCCTTCTTTCTCCAGCAGTGAGTGGAATTAAAACGAGATGAGGAGTAAATGTCTCCTCTCGCTCTTCTCATTCTTGAGTCACTCGTCCCCAGAGGTCTGGGGAGTGGGCGTACACAGCACGTTCACAGCTCACTCTTACGCAAGTCCCCACTTCGCCTGCCCAGGCTGGTGTCTACCAAACCATCTGCCGCTCGCTACGCTTTTCCTTCAATGAAAGCACGTTTACTCCACAGTCACATGTTCAGCTTATGTGTTTGCTGCTAAAGCAAGGCAAGGAGGCTTCACACCACTTACTCTGGTGTCCCCATGGAGCCTGAGTTCACAGAAGCCAAATAGAGCATGTGCTTGTCAGCAAATCAGAGGATGGGTGGCCTTTGACTGCGTTGTGCTACAATACTATGTCAAAAACAGCCAGGATAAGTTTTTTTAAAAAATCATAATGGCTTATGGAGCAATAGTATGAAGTTAGAAAATGCTATGGTTACCCTTCAGCCTCACAGATACAGTACCATGAAATACTGTATGTTGAAACTGAAATTGAAACCATGGCTATGTTCCAATCAAGTATACATACTAGCAAACCTTGTATAATGCATGCCAATTACATTGCTTAATTCTACGTAGTTTGCTAGTGTCAAACCCAGAGTTTGGTTTGTGTCTGACTGACCTTGGCATTCTTGATGCTGTTCATGATGTTTCCTAGATCCTCCACATCGATGACTGAGCCTGGCCTTTTCTCCTCTGACCCAGCTGTCTCCTCATCACTACTGGACTCTACCAGCTCCTCCTGCAGAGAAACAGAGGGAGAGGGGAGAGGGGGGAGAGGGAAAGAGAAGGAGAGAGAGGAGGAGGGAGACAGCAGGCGAGAGGGAGAGGAGTAGATAGTGAAAGGTGATGGCAGAAAAAGAGAGATGGACAGAATATGAAAGGTAGGTGAGAACAGAGAGAGTACGTGGGAGAAAAATAGGGCGAGATCACTCACACATTGTACACAAGAGACCTGCCTCACTTACTTCAAGCATTTCCTAAAGGGTCCAAACCTCCTTCAGATTTATGAAGGCATAAATCCACAATTAATCTTAAATACATCCATGATTAAACAAATCCAGGATCCCATATGGGATAAATGGTATTACAAGTCGTTACCTTTTGTTGGAGCTGCTTGATTAAATAAAGAAAAGCATATGCATATTTATGGAGTTTGGGAACTCCTCAGGGTACGTGGCTGATTCAAATGATGTTGCCCACCACATGTTCATCGGCGTTGGCAGGATTAAATGAAGGCTAAATGGATGCACGGTAGATAAATCATAAGGATTAGCCTTCACATTGTAGTTTCTTTCTACACTCTCTCCTCTGAATGTCACCCCTGCTGCGTACAGCGCTGGAGACAGAAGGAGGGGAAAGTAGCACCGCTAACTCACGTTACCATGACAATACGAGAAAGAGGGTATGTGCATGCATGCGTGTTTAGTAATAGCAGTAGTGTCAAGGAATCCACTCCAGATAAAAGTGTAATAAGAAATACCTTATTGTGGACAGCATAAACCTGCATTGAGTTACGTGAACTACAAATCAACTCTATGAACCTACACTACAACTCAAAAAACCTACACTCGATCGCTCCAATGTCAACAACTACAGACCAGTATCCCTTTTTTCTTTTTTCTCCAAAACTCTTGAGCGTGCTATCTCTAGCCAACTCTCCTGCTATCTCTCTCAGAATGACCTTCTTGATCCAAACCAGTCAGGTTTCAAGACTGGTCATTCAAATGAGACTGCTCTTCTCTGTGTCACGGAGGCTCTCCGCACTGCTAAAGCTAACTCTCTCTCCTCTGCTCTTATCCTTCTAGACCTATCTGCTGCCTTTGATACTGTGAACCATCAGATCCTCCTCTCCACCCTCTCCGAGTTGGGCATCTCCGGCGCTGCTCACTCTTGGATTGCGTCCTACCTGACAGGTCGCTCCTACCAGGTTGTGTGGTGAGAATCTGTCTCCGCACCACGTGCTCTCACCACTGGTGTCCCCCAGGGCTCAGTTCTATTCTCTCTACACACCAAGTCACTTGGCTCTGTCATATCCTCACATGGTCTCTCCTATCATTGCAGACAACACACAATTAATTTTCTCCTTTCCCCCTTCTGATAACCAGGTGGCGAATCGCATCTCTGCATGTCTGGCAGACATATCAGTGTGGATGTCGGATCACCACCTCAAGCTGAACCTCGGCAAGACGGAGCTGCTCTTCCTCCCGGGGAAGGACTGCCCGCTCCATGATCTCGCCATCACGGTTGACAACTCCATTGTGTCCTCCTCCCAGAGTGCAAGGAACCTTTGCGTGACCCTGGACAACAACCAGTCGTTCTACGCTAACAATCCTGCAGGTTCATGCTCTACAACATTCGCAGAGTACGACCCTACCTTACACAGAAAGCGGCACAGGTCCTAATCTAGGCACTTGTCATCTCCTGTCTGGATTACTGCAACTCGCTGTTGGCTGGGCTCCCTGCATGTGCCATTAAACCCCTACAACTTAACCAGAACGCTGCAGCCCGTCTGGTGTTCAACCTTCCCAAGTTCTCTCATGTCACCCCGCTCCTCCGCACACTCCACTGGCTTCCAGTTGAAGCTCGCATCTACTACAAAACCATGGTGCTTGCCTACGGAGCTGTGAGGGGAACGGCACCTCCTTACCTTCAGGCTCTGATCAGACCCTACACGCAAACGAGGGCACTACGTTCATCCACCTCTGGCCTGCTAGCCCCCCTACCTCTACGGAAGCACAGTTCCCGCTCAGCCCAGTCAAAGCTATTCACAAGCTCCCCCACGACGCCAGGACAGCAGAGTCACTGACCACCTTCCGGAGACACTTGAAACCCTACCTCTTTAAGGAATACCTGGAATAGTATAACAATAATCCTTCTAACCCCCCCCCCCCCCCTCCCCCACCCCCTATAAAATAAAATAAAAGGGTAGTTGTCCCACTGGCTATCCTAAGTTGAATGCACCAATTTGTAAGTCTGGATAAGAGCGTCTGCTAAATGACTTAAATGTAAATGTAATGAGATAACATGCATACCTACCATTACTAATGCTAAGAGTAGTTAAGTTCAGTCTTACCTCAGAGTTGAGCTGTTCTGGAGATGCCTGTTCGTCCTGTCTTCTCCTGTGGTTTCTTCCTATTCCTGGTCTTACAGGAGCCTCCCATCTTATAGTTTCCACTACAGGCCTTCTTCTGCTCTGCAACCAGGGCCTGCAGGCAGCTCAGGAACTTGGTCTTCCAGAGCAGGAAGTCAGCCTGTACGCTGCAATTACGGTTCTTCACTACGTTGCAGTTGCCATCTCCTCTGGACAGAACACGGATGTCGCTCAGCATCCACAGCCACTTGTCCACGTTTTTACTCACCTAAGGGAGAGGGAAGAAGGGGTTGAATGATGTGTTTTCAGTGAGTCTAGAGAAAGTGGATGATTAGCTATTGGACAGGAGAGAACAGTCATAGTGGTAATGATAATCGATTGAATGAGCTTAGTATTCTAGTGTGTACAAAAGAGGAATGTATATCAGATAAGCAAAGAAACTGATAATTTCATAAGTGTAAGTAGCAGCACTACACACATAGTGGAAACATATCGATAGGAGACATACAGTATTCAGTCAGATCTCTTACCATATTGTAGTAGCTGCCATACACAGAGTTGCCCAGGCCAAGCACTGTATATCTCAGTGCTTTCAGGTAGGTTTTCCCATTTCTGAAGTCAGTGAATGCCTCCTCCAGCCACTTACAGAACCATTCAGCATTCTCTGTGGGCTGTCCGTCAGTGTACATAGCCAATAGGAACACACAGACCGACTTGTTGGAGCACTGGAGAGAGAGATGCCATCCAGAACTGTGGAAAGTGGCACAAGGTAAACAAATGCAGAATATGTAGCATAGACATATAGAATAAAGATAAAGGATCTCTCCGGTATATACTTCCAGTGAGAGACAGGAATGGCCCCATTTCCTTTTAAAGTGCAATACATTTGGCCAGAGGCAAATTAAGTGCACTTCATAGGAAACAGGATGCAGCTATGGACAACCTATTGCATTGCATGCAACCAGAGTGAAAGTAGGAATCAATAACAGAACAGCAGCATAGGGAGCACTATGATGAAGTATGAGGACAACAATTTGAAGGCAGAACAAATCTCCAAAGCAGAGCAACATTGTAAATGATTCAAGCCCTACAGGGCAGCCAGTGTAAGGTGCCCCTATCCCCATGGTTTCCTACGGCAAAGAGCTGCCTGCAACACTCTATGCTGGGGGAGAGAGCATCATGATTGATCACTGGGCACAGAGAGTCAATGCGCTGAGCATCTGTAACTAGATCTCTGGGCCGGAGGCCGGGCCAAGCACCCATGGTCATTTCTCTTTGGTGAGAGGGATTTTCATCTCCAAACTGTAAAGTATCCCTGTTGAATAAATGGCCATTTCCTCTCAGGCTGCTGCGTCAGGCGACAAATCTCCTATTAATTTCTCAGATGGTGGAGTATTGCCCAACAAAATGGAATACTGATGAAAATAATCAATCTTTCGTGGTTGAACAGGATTCATTTAAAATATTTATACAATGTGCCAGCCATTGGTTTGAAGAATAAAAAAGAAAAAAGAAAGTGGCAAACTTGGGGTTGGAAAATGATGCTAGTGCAAGGCTTTAAAACTGTATAGTTTTGCTAGTTCATCTGTTTATCTGTCAGCGAATACAAGATTAATTCCCTAGAAGCTAAGATAGTAGCACTTCATTACTGCATGAAATTAAGTATGTGAATAATAACATATAATAGTATGGTAACAAGTTATAGTTACTCACAAATTTAAACATGACTGTCCAGATAGATACCCATTAAGGTCAGTATAATTATAGAATTGTTTTCTTCCAGGTTAAAGGAAACATCACTCACCTCATCAGCTAGCGTGTCATCTGGGTCATAATCTTTCATGTCGATCACTTCAGCTGGCAAGCCCAAAGCCTTCACTACCTCTGCTAGCTCTGTAGCAAAACTCTGGGACAAATGTATGATCAATTAAAGTTAATTTCAGTATGCAATTCTGCTTATAAAAACTTTGCCCATTCATATACTGTAATGCTAGCGCCTTACAGTCCATTCATGAACCTACAGTGCCTTCAGAAAGTATTCACACCCCTTGACTTTTTCCACATTTTGTTCTGTTACAGCCTGAATTTGAAACGGATTAAATTGAGATTTTTTTGGCACTGGCCTACACACAATACCCCATAATGTCAAAGTGGAATTGTGTTTAAAAATTTTGTTTACAAATAAAATAAAAATGAAAAGCTCAAGTGTCTTGAGTCAATAAGTATAGAATCCATTTGTTTTTATGGCAAGCCTAAATAAGTTCAGGAGTAAACATTTGCTTAACAAGTCACATAAGTTGCAAGGACTCACTCTGTGTGCAATAATAGTGTTTAACGTGATTTTTTAATGACTACCTCATCTCTGTACCCCACACCTACAATTATCTGTAAGGTCACTCAGTTGAGCAATGAATTTCAAACACAGATTCAACCACAAAGACCAGCCAGGTTTTCCAGTGCCACACAAGAAGGGCAAAAAAACAAACAGGCATTGAATATCCCATTGAGCATGGTGAAGTTATTCATTACACTTTGGATGGTGAATCACTACACCCAGTCACTACAAAGATAGAGTGCATTCGGAAAGTATTCGGACCCCTTGACTTCTTCCACATTTTGTAACGTAAAAGCCTTATTCTAAAATTGATACAATTATTTTATTACCTCATCAATCTACACACAATACCCCATAATGTCAAAATGAAAATGTTTTTTTTATTTTTATTCTTGCTATAATAAAATACCTTATTTACATAAGTATTCATAAAATGTGTTATGAGACTTCAAAATTGGGCTCAGGTGCATCCTGTTTCCACTGATCATCCTTGAGATGTTTCTACAACTTGGAGTCCACCTGTGGTAATTTCAATTGATTGGACATGATTTGGAATGGCACACACCTGTCTATATAAGGTCCCACAGTTGATAGTGCATGTCAGAACAAAAAACCAAGCCATGAAGTCGAAGGAATTGTACATAGAGCTCCGAGACAGGATTGTGTTGAGGCACAGATCTGGGGAAGGCTAACAAAAAATGTTAGCATTGAAGGTCCCCAAGAACATAGTGGCCTCCATCATTCTTAAATGGATGAAGTTTGGAACCACCAAGACTCTTCCTAGAGCTGGCCGCCCGGCCAAACTGAGCAATCGGGGGAGAAGGGCCTTGGTCAGGGAGGAGACCAAGAACCCGATGGTCACTCTGACAGAGCTCCAGAGTTCCTCTGTGGAGATGGGAGAACCTTCCAGATGGACAACCATCTCTGCAGCACTCCACCAATCAGGCCTTTATGGTAGAGTGGCCAGACGGAAGCAACTCCTCAGTAAAAGGCACATGACAGCCCGCTTGGAGTTGCCAAAAGGCACCTAAAGGACTCTCAGACCATCAGAAACAGGATTCTCTGGTCTGATGAAACCAAGATTGAACTCTTTGGCCTGAATGCCAAGCGTCACATCTGGAAGAAACCTGGCACCATCTCTACGGTGAAGCATGGTGGTGGCAGCATCATGCTGTGGGGATGTTTTTCAGCGGCAGGGACTGGGAGACTAGTGAGGATCGAGGGAAAGATGAACGGAGCAAAGTACAGAGAGATCCTTGATGAAAACCTGCTCCAGAGCGCTCAGGACCTCAGACTGGGGTGAAGGTTCACCTTCCAACAGGACAACGACCCTAAGCACACAGCCAAGACAATGCAGGATTGGCTTTGGGACAAGTCTCTGAATGTCCTTGAGTGACCCAGCCAGAGCCCGGACTTAAATCCGATCAAACATCTCTGGAGAGACCTGAAAATAGCTGTGCAGTGACGCGCCCCAGCCAACCTGACATAGCTTGGGAGGATCTGCAGAGAAGAATGGTAGAAACCCCCCAAATACAGGTGTGCCATGCTTGTAACGTCATACCCAAGAAGACTTGAGGCTGTAATCGCTGCCAAAGGTGCTTCAACAAAGTACTGAGTAAAGGGTCTGAATACTTATGTAAATGTATTTTCAGTTTTTTATTTGTAATACATTTATAAAAAACAATTATTGCTTTGTCATTATGGGGTATTGTGTGTAGATTGAGGGGGGGGGGGGGGGGACTATTTAATCAATTTTAGAATAAGGCTGCAACGTAACAAAATATGGAAAAAGTCAAGGGGTCTGAATACTTTCCGAATGCACTGTACAGGCGTCCTTCCTAACTCGGATGCAGTAGAGGAAGGAAACCACTCAGGGATTTCACCATGAGGCCAATGGTGACTTCAAAACAGTTACAGTGAGGGAAAAAAGTATTTGATCCACTGCTGATTTTGTATGTTTGCCCACTGACAAAGAAATGATCAGTCTATAATTTAATGGTAGGTTTATTTGAACAGTGAGAGACAGAATAACAACAACAAAATCCAGAAAAAACGCATGTCAAAAATGTTATAAATTGATTTGCATTTTAATGAGGGAAATAAGTACAGTACAGAGTTTAATGGCTGTGATAGGAGAAAACTGAGGATGGATCAACAACATTGTAGGTACTCCACAATACTAAGCTAATTGACAGAGTGAAAAGCAGGAAGCCTGTAGAGAATAAAACTATTCCAAAACATGCATTTTGTTTGCAACAAGGCACTAAAGTAATTGGCAAAGCAGTTAACTTTTTGTCCTGAATACAAAGTGTTCTGTTTGGGGCAAATTCAATACAACACATTTTCTGAGTACCAGAGTGCGTGAGCAGAGCGGAGCGAGTAGTGGAGCGTGCCCAATTTGACTGGAGCGTGAAGCGAGATTCCCAAAGGTTGGCGATTCTGCCTTCTAGCCCGCTCCAATAGCGTTCACTTCAGGAGCTCAGGGCATGCATTTGTAGTCTACTTGTGTGCTGCTAATAGCCCCTTGCTTTAGCTACTGTCATGGAGTTCGCTAAATATTTTCATAAAGAAACTGATAAAATACACAGTTGCTAAATCAAGGTGACTTCCAAAGATGAAGAGCAAGAGTGGGAGTGATGTGATGTAGTGTCCACTGTTATGTGTAAGGATTGGATGCCATCTGCTGGTATGGTGCTAAACTGTTAGGTTATAGACCGGATACCATTGTTCTACGTGCAGGATATGGCCACATGAAACATCCACAACTAAAGATCATTGTGGAATCTGAAAATACACTTATCCCAAAAGTATGATGGTATACTTATTACTTGCACAGGCTAAAATAAAGAATGAGGTGGGTAGATAACTAAGTGTGTCATTGTAGCAAAGTATTCATAAACTAAAAATCTGATCTCTTAAATGTTTTGTTCATTTTTCGTTCTATTATCTATACAATAGGCAATAATTGATTTTGGCCCAATAGGCCTGGCATATTCCCACGTTCAAGGAGCTTTCCGTTTTGATTGGGTTATTTAGCCTAAAAACCTTTAGGCCTACCTAATAGAAACATTTAAAAAACAACTCTGGATCTCTGCCCAACCTGGCAAGAGTGGCCAAAAGGGTGTTTAGCGTCCCCAGTGGCCCTGCAATTGTGGAGAGTATATTCTCAGTGGTGGAAAAAGTACCCAATTGTCATACTTGAGTAAAGGTAAAGATACCTTAATAGAAAATGACTCAATAAAAAGTGAAAGTCACCCAGTAAAATACTACTTGAGTAAAAGTCTAAAAGTATTTGGTTTTAAATATACTTAAGTATCAAAAGTAAATACAATTGCTAAAATATACTTTTTATTTTATTTATTTATTTTATTTCACCTTTATTTAACCAGGTAGGCCAGTTGAGAACAAGTTCTCATTTACAACTGCGACCTGGCCAGTGCGATAAAAACAACAACAACACAGAGTTACACATGGGATAAACAAAACATACAGTCAATAACACCATAGAAAAACTACAGTTGAAGTCGGAAATTTACATACACTTAGGTTGGAGTCATTAAAACTCGTTTTTCAACCACTCCACAAATTTCTTGTTAGGACATCTACTTTGTGCATGACACAAGTAATTTGTCCAACAATTGTTTACAGACAGATTATTTCACTTATAACATTTACATTTTAGTCATTTAGCAGTCAAATTAGTGAGTGCATACATTTGTTTATTTTTTTTATTTAAAAAATCATACTGGCCCCCCGTGGGAATCGAAACCAAAACCCTGGCGTTGCAAGCACCATACTCTACCAACTGAGCTACACGGGGCCCACTGTATCACAATTCCAGTGGGTCAGAAGTTTACATACACTAAGTTGACTGCGCCTTTAAACAGCTTGGAAAATTCCAGGAAATTATGTCATGGCTTTAGAAGCTTCTGATAGGCTAATTGACATCATTTGAGTCAATTGGAGGTGTACCTGTTGATGTATTTGAAGGCCTACCTTCAAACTCAGTGCCTCTTTGCTTGACATCATGGGAAAATCAAAAGAAATCAGCCAAGAACTCAGAAAAAAAATTGTAGACCTCCACGAGTCTGGTTCATCCTTGGGAGCAATTTCCAAACGCCTAAGGGTACCACGTTCATCTGTACAAACAATAGTACGCAAGTATAAACACCATAGGACCACGCAGCCGTCATACCGCTCAGGAAGGAGATACGTTCTGTCTCCTAGAGATGACCGTACTTTGGTGCAAAAAGTGCAAATCAATCCCAGAACAACAGCAAAAGGACCATGTGAAGATGCTGGAGGAAACAGGTACAAAAGTATCTACAGTGGGGAAAAAAAGTATTTAGTCAGCCACCAATTGTGCAAGTTCTCCCACTTAAAAAGATGAGAGAGGCCTGTAATTTTCATCATAGGTACACGTCAACTATGACAGACAAAATGAGGGGAAAAAAATCCAGAAAATCACATTGTAGGATTTTTTATGAATTTATTTGCAAATTATGGTGGAAAATAAGTATTTGGTCAATAACTAAAGTTTCTCAATACTTTTATATACCCTTTGTTGGCAAAGACACCGGTCAAACATTTTCTGTAAGTCTTCACAAGGTTTTCACACACTGTTGCTGGTATTTTGGCCCATTCCTCCATGCAGATCTCCTCTAGAGCAGTGATGTTTTGGGGCTGTCGCTGGGCAACATGGACTTTCAACTGCCTCCAAAGATTTTCTATGGGGTTGAGATCTGGAGACTGGCTAGGCCACTCCAGGACCTTGAAATGCTTCTTACGAAGCCACTACTTCGTTGCCCGGGCGGTGTGTTTGGGATCATTGTCATGCTGAAAGACCCAGCCACGTTACATCTTCAATGCCCTTGCTGATGGAAGGAGGTTTTCACTCAAAATCTCACGATACATGGCCCCATTCATTCTTTCCTTTACACAGATCAGTCGTCCTGGTCCCTTTGCAGAAAACAGCCCCAAAGCATGATGTTTCCACCCCCATGCTTCACAGTAGGTATGGTGTTCTTTGGATGCAACTCAGCATTCTTTGTCCTCCAAACACGACGAGTTGAGTTTTTACCAAAAAGTCCCTGGCGGCGTAGTGTGTTACTGATGGTAGGCTTTGTTACTTTGGTCCCAGCTCTCTGCAGGTCATTCACTAGGTCCCCCCGTGTGGTTCTGGGATTTTTGCTCACCGTTCTTGTGATCATTTTGACCCCACGGGGTGAGATCTTGCGTGGAGCCCCAGATCGAGGGAGATTATCAGTGGTCTTGTATGTCTTCCATTTCCTAATAATTGCTCCCACAGTTGATTTCTTCAATCCAAGCTGCTTACCTATTGCAGATGCAGTCTTCCCAGCCTGGTGCAGGTCTACAATTTTGTTTTTGGTGTCCTTTGACAGCTCTTTCGTCTTGGCCATTATGAAATTTGGAGTGTGACTGTTTGAGGTTGTGGACAGGTGTCTTTTATACTGATAACAAGTTCAAACAGGTGCCATTAATACAGGTAACAAGTGGAGGACAGAGGAGCCTCTTAAAGAAGAAGTTACAGGTCTGTGAGAGCCAGAAATCTTGCTTGTTTGTAGGTGACCAAATACTTATTTTCCACCATAATTTGCAAATAAATTCATTAAAAATCCTACAATGGGATTTTCTGGATTTTTTTTTCTCAATTTGTCTGTCATAGTTGACGTGTACATATGATGAAAATTACAGGCCTCTCTCATCTTTTTAAGTGGGAGAACTTGCACAATTGGTGGCTGACTAAATACTTTTTTTCCCCACTGTAGGTAGAGAACATTGAACAGAACAAGGCTATGTCAACAACTCAATTTTGACAAAAAAATGCAGATAGAACCTTATAGTCCCAAGCTCTCAATTTGACTCTTAAATGTACTAATTTACCAGTAGACAAATAATTCATTCCAGTTCATAGAAATGTAAACAGAACTGCTCTTTAAGATTGGTGACTTGAGCAAATAATAAGGGAAGAGTTAAATTACCTTTTTCAATGCCATTTTCAGTGAATAACAAATTTCAACCAAAACAGCGGCAGCTGTGTACAAGTACAGCCTGTTCTTCCATACTGACAAAAAATAACGATTGAAGGTGCTGCGGACTGTCTTCCTTGTTCCTGCAAAGACATTATGTTCCGGATTAGCCGAAAGGCCGGCAAATGGTGATATCGAGTCGTTCATCTATACGGTCCAAAAGGAATCTATGCAGCTGGCTATACATTCGTATCTCCCGTGGACCGGTTCGTGCATAGAACATTCTCCATTCAGGCTGCAAAGGCATCGATTTCTTCCTTAACTCAATTTAATGGCGAAAAGGTGATAAAAACTGGGAAAGTATGCATACTTTTCTTTATGAAACACCATTTTCCACCACCATGCTAAAGTAACTAATGTTCATCCTGGATGTTGTATATCATTAGTTTTAGAGGAATGATTCCAGTAATTTTTCAAATGAACTGCCAGTATGCCAACATTCCATTCAAACAATGCAGTCAATCACAGACATATACTGGCTGAAATCAGTTGATGATATGACTTAGACAAATTGTAAATGCAACAAGAACTGATATTGTATCATATAATAGCACTCACAGCTTTCCAAGAAAACAACAAATGAGTATTTTATGGTCTGTTACATATAAAAGGCTATTTATACAGAACATTGGTATAAAACCCGAATAAACTGTATTTACAATTATATGACAATATTTTAGGTTGCCAATAATTCTATTACACAATTTCTGATATATCACATGCCTTACTTTTATTTTCCTGCATAAGTAAAATCTGGATTATGCCTCTACTGCCATTCATTCCAATTAGACTGGTTTGGATTTCTACCTGACCAATATGGCTGCCATTTTCATCCCATTCTGGAACTTTTAGGGTTTATGACATAGTCCCTTCTAGTAATTTAATAGGATCTCTATACTATACATACATACACACACATTACATTTACATTTTAGTCATTTAGCAGACGCTCTTATCCAGAGCGACTTACATTATTGAATTTTTTTTCCCTACCCCCTGTGGGAATCGAACCCACAACCCTGGCGTTGCAAACGCCATGCTCTATCAACTGAGCTACATCCCTGCCGGCCATTCCCTCCCCTACCCTGGACGACGCTGAGCCAATTGCGCGCCGCCACATGGGTCTCCCGGTCACGGCCGGCTACGACAGAGCCTGGATTCGAACCAGGATCTCTGGTGGCACAGCTAGCACTGCAATGCAGTGCCTTAGACCACTGCGCCACTCGGGAGACTACACATCAGCTCAAGATCTCAGAAAGAGCACAAAAGTTATTTTTTTATTAGAATCTAGCAGCTGCTAGCGGGCTCGAGGTAATTATTTCACTGACATGAAGAATGCGCTGACTGTCCATCTCTGGACTATCCTCATCTCACCTTTCACTTTCAAATACCCAGTTATCTCTCTGCAACACTCTCACTCACCATCAATATCAGCCCCAAAAACATGGGTTAGCAAATCCAAAAGCAGTAAAGTTGAGTCCCTTAACATTGTCGTTTCTTTCTCCTGTGCCATGTTTTGTATCACCAATGTAAATATTTACAAATGTTTTGGGAACATCAAAGTTCAACAGCTGGAAGCAGCCATAATGTTATCATGACGAAACGAAATACATTGTGGGAATTTGAGGTTTCATTATATCACAGATATAAAAATATTTGATTATATTTGATCACATTTTATGATATCCCATAGGCATAGGCATAGTTTTACACCATTCTACTCTCCATTACTTTGCAACAGTTTTTAAGCATTAAATTATATTATCTGACTGAAATACACCGGTACAGGAACAACTTCATGAGCAACTACATTTACAAGTGATATTTTATGCAAAGTATCTAGTTAGTCAAATACATACAAATTAAACATTTTTCTTTAATAGTAGCAGTCGTTATGGTAACGTATCAAATGTAATTGTCAACAACAACAAAATACTAAACAGCTTCCATCAGAGACAAACAAAAGATCGGACCGTTTGCACCTAGTATGTGTTTCAGTCCGGCGAAATTTCTGTGAAACTCATAGCACACCAACGCCGCAAAATATTTATCGTGTTACTGACAGATTAATCTGTCTTGCAAAGCAAAAATATGTCTATATTTACACCAACAAACCAGATCCGACTCACAAATGTGGCGGTGGTGAGGATGAAAAAGGGAGGAAAACGATTTGAAATCGCCTGCTACAAAAATAAAGTGATGAGCTGGAGATCTGGAGCGTGAGTATTTTAGGAATTTAGATAGCTGCGTAGCTATGATAGCTAGCTAGTTGGATCTAGCTGCGTAGCTATGATAGCTAGCTAGTTGGATCTGTTTGATACCCACCGAGGCATATAGAAAACACTACTAGTATGTCAGACTAATGGTAGTATTCAGCTTTGATGTTTTTCTAATTAGCTCCGAATGTAACTAAATAATTTGTTTAAACAATCTAATGTGCTGTTTCGGAGGAGCAAGTCATGACTCATGTCATCGTCATGGCTAATTGGATTGGCCTATCACTTGTCTTGTATCGTGCATCATATTCTTACCCAGCGTCGAGAGGCTGTGGAATGATGAGGATATGAGGAACAGTCTAGGTGCCATGTGTTTTGCATCACTGATTCTTTGGACTTTGAATCACCTACAACTGGCATCTTTTGAATTTCAGAAGGGAACACCCCCTCGACCTCCCCTAGAACCAAATCCAATAGCTGGTTAGAGTTCACACAATATTTGGTTTTAGGTTGTCGAGATTAGCCTATCAATCACTATAGGTATTGAATGCATCATCTAGCACAGTGTTTCTGTCCTGGTCCTGGGGAACCAAAGGGGTACACATTTTTGTTTTTACCCTAGCACTATTCACCTGATTCCACTAACCAACTCATTGTAAAACCTTTGATTAGTGGAATCAGGTGTGTAGTGTTTGGGCAAAAATGTGCACCCCAGGACCAGAATTAAGAAACAGTGATAGCAAAGCCCAATGTAAACATTTCATAAATCTCCATGCCATTTTCATTTGCCAATTACACAGAGAGAAGGACCTGGATGAAGTGTTGCAGACCAGCTCTGTTTTCAATAATGTTTCCAAGGGTCAGGTCGCCAAGAAAGATGATCTGTCAAAAGCCTTTGGAACAGATGACCTGACAGAGATATGTAAACAGGTAAATACATTGACAAATATAAATGAACACCAGTAACCAATATTACACTCACATTCAACATTATGTATTGCTGTGTGATTTGCCTATTCAATATTTTTCTTTTTTTTCCCTTTGTTGGTCAGATTTTAGCTAAAGGAGAACTCCAGGTTTCAGACAAGGAGAGGCAGAGCCAGTTGGAGACGAGTTTCAGAGACATTGCGACCATCGTGGCGGAGAAGTGTGTGAACCCAGAGACCAAGCGACCATACACAGTCAACCTCATAGAGAGGGCCATGAAGGATATCCACTACTCTGTCAAGGCCAACAAGAGCACCAAGCAGCAGGTAGGGCTGGGACACAATGTTGTTGCTACAGTACACTCTTGAGTCTAGACATTTACCGTATTTTAATATAAACGTCAAGGATGAATGGCTGAACATGAATGAACGGCTTTGTTTTTAATGCTCACTCACTGTGCATACTGTGTGTACAAGCTGTGGCTAGATTTAGCCATAAATTATTCCCTTCAAGTGTGAGGAGTTTGGTCTCTCATATTAAACATTCTGAACCTGTATGTTGTTTAGCTACATAAACCAGAATACTTACATGGATGGCTTTCAGTACATACCAACTAATGACTGTCTTTGTCATGCTAATGCCCCATGAATCTAACGGCTGTTTGTTCCTAGGCTCTGGAGGTGATTAGGCAGCTGAAGGATTCCATAGAGATCCAGAGGGCCCACATGAGGCTCAGGCTGGTCCTGCCGGCCAAGGACGGCAAGAGGCTGAAGGAGAAACTCAAACCCATCCTCAAGGTGGTGGAAAGTGAAGACTTTGACGACCAGCTGGAGATGGTGAGAGAAATATCCCTTTAGTCTATATTATGCTACACTGTGGGGCTCTTAAGCACGTGTCAAACTCATTTCACGGAGGTCTGCGTGTTTTCGCTCCTTCATGGTACTTGATTGATGAATTAAGGTCACTAATTAGTAAAGCGCTCCCCTCACCTGGTTGTTTAGGTCTTAATTGAAAGGAAAAACAAGAAACCCGCGGACACTAGGCCATCCATGGAATGAGTTTGACACCCCTGCTCTAAACTAAAATGGTTATATCTTATCTAGACATGATACCCAAACAAATATGTAATACACTGTATACGCTAGTAGTACATGATTCAAGTAATGCAACAACAACAATCCTTTCCTTCCCCCCTCTCTCTCTATATATATTTCTTTCCCCCTCCCTCCATCCTCCAGGTGTGTCTGGTGGACCCAGGCTGCTTTAGGGAGATAGATGAGTTGATCCGCTGTGAGACGAAAGGTAAAGGTTCCCTGGAGGTGCTCAGTCTGAAGGATGTGGAAGAGGGAGACGAGAGGCTGGAATAGCCTTCACACAGAGCCCTATAGGACTACATACATACACTATCTTACCACCACCGCTGCCACACAAACTACAAACACCTCATTAAAGAGACCGCTATTTCTAATACCAATGGAGCCCTTCTTATTTCCAGCCTCTGTTCCCTTTATCTAATATTAGGTTTTGGTTGAAGATCCGATAACATTCAGTATTTTTGCTGTGAGCATGTGCGTGCACCACTCGAATGTGATGTTTGCTTGTAAACAATAAATGGCTCTATATAGTTTAATGAAGTTCATTTTGTGAGTCAACTTTTTCTCAAGTAATTAATATGGTTTTGACCCTGTCTTTCATTTTACCCAGTGTGCCATTTCGCCATGTTTTATTATGAATAGCTCATTTAACCCCTTAATTTATATATATTTTTTCATAATTAAATATGAGTCTTATAAACAATTGCAAATAAAAAACGTAATCATCTTTCATGGTTTTTATTCATTATATTCTGATTACTATGGCATAGTCTCTCAAAAAATTTAATCAATAGCCCTAATACAGTAGATATTACATTTTATCCCAAGTTTATGCAGGTAAAGTGACAATATCCAGAATGTATGTTACTGACATTACCAAGAGCAGAAATTGTACCATACCATTATTGTAAGATACAGTGCCTTCAGAAAGTATTCATACTCTTTGACTTATTCCACATTTTGTCTATTTTTTTTTCTTCTCACCCATCTACACACAATACCCCATAATGACATAGTGAAAACATGTTTTTAGAAGTGTTTGCAAATGTATTTAAAATGAAATACAGAAATATCTCATTTACGTAAGTATTCACACCCCTGAGTCAATACATGTTAGAATCACCTTTGGCAGCAATTACAGCTGTGAGTCTTTCTGGGTAAGTCTCTAAGAGCTTTGCACAACTGGATTGTACAATATTTGCACATTATTATTTTTAAAATTCTTCACGCTCTGGCAAGTAGGTTGTTGATCATTGTTAGGCATCAATTTTCAAGTCTTGCCATAGATTTTCAAGCCGATTTAAGTCAAAACTGTAACTAGGCCACTCAGGAACATTCCATGTCGTCTTGGTAAACAACTCCAGTGTATACTTGGCCTTGTGTTTTAGGTTATTATCCTGCTGAAAGGTGAATTTGTCTCCCAGTGTCTGTTGGGAAGCAGACTGAACCAGGGTTTCCTCTAGGATTTGCCTGTGCTTAGCTCTATTCCATTTATTTTTATCCTAAAAAAAACTCCCTACTCCTTGCCGATGACAAACATAACCATAACATGATGCAGCCACCACCATGTTTGGAAATATGAAGAGGTGTACTCAGTGATATGTTGTGTTGGATTTGCCCCAAACATAATGCTTTGTATTCAGGACATAAAGTTATTTCTTTGACACATTTTTGGAAGTTTTACTTTAGTGCCTTATTGCAATCAGGATGCATGTTTGGAATATTTGTTATTCTCTACAAACTTCCTTCTTTTCACTTGGTCATTTAGGTTAGTATTGTGGAGTAACTACAATGTTGTTGATCCATCCTCAGTTTTCTTTTATCACAGCCATTAAACACTGTAACTGTTTTAAAGTCACCATTAGCCTCATAGTGAAATCCCTGAGCGGTTTCCTTCCTCTCCGGCAACTGAGTTAGGAATGACACCTGTATCTTTGTAGTGACTGGGTGTAGTGATTCACCATCCAAAGTGTAATTAATTACTTCACCATGCTCAAAGGGATATTCAATGTGTCGTATCAGATGAATGGTGGCAATTATTGCTGATGAACAAAAGGAGTCTGCTCATACTGCACGTTGATCATAAGGTTTATTCAGATCACAAGCTTCAGCATGGGTGACAGACTCGCGAGGTCTGGAGAGCAGTGTCCTCCAATTCTAATTGCTGCTCCTTGTGGTCCTAAAATAATGCAACTTGAGCTAAGTTGAACATTCTTCGGTTGATGACTCAACCATTCCTCTGAGTGTGATTGAGCAGCCTTCTTGAAATACTTAAGCGTACAATGGAATGGATATTCCGGAAGCTTTGCATCCGGCATATTTGCAACAATAAATCTTTCCCATATCTTAGCCTGTTTCATAAAATCTTCACTGAGATTTCCAATCCAGAATACTGAAGACGAATCCTTCTCCGTCATCATCGACAATTGGTAAACCTTTTCCTTTGGCATTTCTATCAGACAGCCGTCTGGTGTACATCTGATTGTACAGTTCAACTTACACAATGCATCTCTTCCCAATAATGCAACAGGTGTATGTTCTGATACCAGTATGGGTATTGTAATTTTCTGATCTTTATAGCAGAGCTCAATTGGTTCCGTAAGAGGAATCAGCTGTTTTACTCCCTCAAATCCGATTGTCCTAACGAGTTGATTGGACATAGGGAGATGTGTAGCATCTTCAGGTCGAACACAGGTGAACGCTGCTCCGCTATCCGCCATTACTTCCAATGGTCGGTTGTTTATTTTCACCTCAATTGTTGGATCTCTTTCCGATCCTGACGCTACCAGCTGACACCCCCCTTTCGGATCATCTAGGCACCCCTAGAATCCTGGCTCCGGACCCCTGTAGGGGTTCACCGGTCCTCCCGATGCTTTTGACTGGCCCCTGTATCTTCCTCTAAAATTCCCTCTAAGGTCTCCTCCTGACCAATTACACTCACGGGCAAAGTGACCAACATGTCCACAATTATAACACACATCTGGAGACGGCGGGAAGACTGGCTTACCTCTTCCTCTTCCTCTCCAATTCTGTGTCTGCCCAGAAATTGGCTGTGGGTATGAATTAACTGGTGCCGCCATTGGTGGCTGGTACAATTGCGGTTGGAACTGTTCTGGTGGAAGCTGTGGCAGCGCTTGTTGGTTCGGTGCACACGGACTCTGCATAACCAAAGCTTGTTTCTTATCCTTTTTATTCTCTCCCAGTTGTATTAGATTAAGTTTCCGGAGAGTTTCTTCGTCCTGCTCTTTCTGGTTGAGTTCCTTCTTCCTGTACAGATCCACTTGATGAGCTATGTGATCTGTATAGACCCCTTTTGTCATGCTTCCAAGTCCAACCACTTCTGCCAGTTTGTTTCTTACTGGTGCGGGCAGTCCCATTTGCAGTTTAGCTCTCAAAATTGACTGCTCAATTTGACTCACATCTGGATCATTTCCAGTAATATTTCTCCACACTTGATGAACCCTTGACACATACGCTCTCGGATTTTCTTGTTGTCCTAGTGGATCAATCAGAATATTATCAGGATGCACATTCGTTGGAAATGTATCTTTCAATGCTCTCCACAGACGATTCCTACTTGCAGCCAGCAATTCAGGATCGTTCACTGCCGTCCCCACATATCTCATGAGTCCAGCCCTCTGGAAGACTTCTTCCATATCTGGAATCCCAATGAGATTAGCCAACAGTCTCTTAACGTCTCCTATGGCAGACTGTGTTCCCACCGTAATTTCTTCCAATTTCGAAATCCAAGGATAAGCCCCATTCTGAAGAATAGGCAACTTCTCAAGTATGTTTGACATATCGGTATTTTGCAACGGCTTATATTCAAAGTTTTGACCTCGAATGATAACTGGTGCCATTTTGCTTGTGGCATCTTTCCTTGACCTTAATGCATATTTTGTCTCATCTTTTTCAGATTCTCTTCTCAGCTGTCTCTCCTTCCGTATGGTCAGCGTCTGGAGTTCTTCCCGTAGCTCTCTTACTTCTCCTGCAGTCCTTGCACTCTTCAGTTCTGATAAGCATTGATCTATATCTCCTTCTATCTCTTCTGCAACAGTCTTTGCCGGAGAAACTCCTTTCGAATACGCAGCACCTTCAGTCTTCTCTTTATCGCTGTCTTCATCTTTGCTTCCCTCAGCACTCGAATATATTGTATCCTTCTTCTTCGAATCTTCCTCAGCACTGTAATATCTTGTATCCTTCTTCTTCAAACCTTCCTTACCCCTTCTCTCCGTTCTGGCCAACCTCCGTTTGATGACCGGATCATATCCACCCATGATCCCTTCTAAATCACTCTGATCATCATCGTCCTCCTCCAGTTCCATCCTACTTAACCTCATACCACCCTTAGTTTTCAGACTTCTCGTTTTCTTTCCACCTTTGGTGCTTGGATGCATTTTTACGATCGTTTCTGCTTGTCCTCTCTCTATAATTTGTTCATCTTCATCTCTGATGTAATAATCCCCCTGTTGGAGGATTACTGGAAGCTGAGGATAAGCATCCCTAAGCTCAACTTCCTTCTCATACGGTGGGGGTCTTCTCGCCGAATCCGTATGTGAGAAAGGTATACCGACCTCTACCCTCAGTTTCTCTGTCGACGTCTCTTCCTTTAGCTTTTTCTCCATACCTTTGCTTCCCTTGTCTTTGGTATCTTTCATCAGTTTTTGTCCTTCCTCTTCAAACAATTTAAGAACACCCAGCTCCCTCTGTCTCTTCTCTTTACATCGTTCCTTTTGTTTTCCCTTCTTCTGATCTGCCTTGTAAACTGACAGAAGTACTCTCATGATGTTGATAACATCCGGATTAAGAGTCCCTTCCTCTGGCCAGGGTTGTTCAATGTCAGGCCAACGTTTGTTCCATTTGCCGGATAATCTCGCAATACCCTTAACTAAAGGATTACTATGTTCGACTATATTAACTGGTGTAATAACTTTCATAGCCTTGCTATCCTTTCTCCCCATTGTAAGTCCTCTTTTATCTTCCTTTATTGTGAACTATTTATTTCAGCCTATATAGCCTATGGCTTCCCCCCCTTTAATTATTAATATAACCTAAACAACCCGAGAGAAAAAAAAAAAAAAAAATTAAAAAAAAAAAAATAAAAAAAAAATAATAATAATATGACTATTAAAAAATTGTCAAAAATCTGAATATCAAAAATTAAAAAAAAAAATATGAATATTAAAAAATTCTAAAAATCTGAATTTAAAATTTTTCCAAAAAATATGAATATTAATTTTTTTTGAAAAATATGAATAATTAAAAAAATAAAAATATGAATATTAAAACTTTTTGAAAAATATGAATAATTAAAAAATTAAAATATGAATATTAAAATTTTAATCAAAAATAAACCCCCCTAAAAAAAATCCATTAAATTATTCAATTAAAACTTTAATTAACAACTATGAATAATTATGAATAATTAAGACCAATTTTTATTTCTACACCTATTTTACCAATTTAGGACCCACTTACCTTAACCCCTCCGGAAAGTGAATACCAGTAGTCAACTTCCACAGCAATCCAAACAACATGGAATTCTAATCTACAACACCATCACCCCAATAAATTCCATTGTTTAATATGCACCCAAGTATTTTACTATCACAGAATAAAACAATATGCACCCAAGTATTTTAATATCACAGAATAAAAGACTTCCAATCCACAACAATAACACCAACACGTCAGTCTGTTAGAACAACAATGGGAAGCAATTTAACTCTTTCAACATTGACAGTTGGTAAAGCCATAAATATATCGCATTCGATTACAAGGGAACCGATAGTACCAGCACCAATTTTAGAACAAAAAACATCAACTAAATCAACTACTTTAATGTTAACTTTGAAAAGATTTAAGGGTATGACGGCAATAACAAATGTAGGAGGTATGATACCGACACCAACAACAACTTTTCTAAAAGTAAACGATGTAACTGAAATGACTCAGCAAGTAGTCATTGAAAACAATATAGGTTCATCTGAAATAGTATATGACAATATCATGGAAGAACAGGATGGGTTTTTTGGGTTCAACTTAACATCAGAAGATACATCTGATCAATCCCGCTCGGTAGGGAAAAGAGACGCTAAATGGAAAGCATATGGATTTGATTCGGCGGTCTTGAAAATTAAAGATCAATGGGCAGGGAGAAATCTTTGGTTCCAGCAATTAACTCATGCTGTAAGATCAGTGAGGAATCTTGAGGGTCCATGTCTGTTGAGAATTCCAGCACCAGAGACGTGGGGTTCAATTTTACAGACGGTTGCTCAACCATTGGCGGGTGGGTGTCAGGCCTATGCAGGCCTATGCGTTGAGATGGCTGTTGTATCATCAACGAGTATTGACAGACAAAGACATGTCGTTGTCACACCATTTGTATAAGCCTAGTTATAAGTGTTCTTGGTTAAATGAATTTCCCTATGTGAATATGGTGGGTGGTAAAGAAAGTCAGGTGACAGTGATCCCTGAAGCATTTGAGGTGAGAGCAGTGAGAGCTAAAACTTGTATTTGTTCTAATAATACAGATGAGGTAAATGGTATGTTCATGGGAATATCAGATTGTGATGGGTATATGTTGACTTTGGGTAAACACGGACGAAAGGGTAAAGGTGACAAATATAATGTAACTTTTTATGCACCAGGTAGTAAGAAGGGCAGGACTTTGATGGTGATGGAGCAATTTTTCCCTATCAATGCAACTATTGGGAATTTTAGAGATATTTGGTGGGTTTGTGGTGATAAAGCATATATATTTTTACCCTATGGATGGAAAGGGTGTTGTTACATGTCAACGTTGAAGTTGCCATATGAGGTTTTTACAATTAGAAGAGGAGTAGCACCGAACCCAGATCAATCTGAAACTACTGGTGAAAATAGGGTTAAAAGAGAAATGGCTAAATTTACTAATCTTGAAGCCTACCATTGGAGAATAAGTCTGGGAGAGAAGTGGGGACTTGGTCTTTTTCCATGGTATGGTGTAACATTCTTAGCAGATCATATTGATAATATTACATATACGTTGCAGGGCTTTGCAAATGAAACAATAAGAGGTTTTCACCTTCTGTCAAATGCTCAAAGAAGTCACAGACTGACGTTGTTGAAACATGACATGGCTCTTGATTATATTTTGGCAAGACAAGGTGGCTTATGTTTGGCTATGAATCTGCCGGGGGATGATTGTTATACTTTGATCCCAGATAGTTCCGATAATATCACAAGTGTTATAGATGCTTTGAAGAATATCAGGGATGCATTTGGAAGATCTGAGAAAGCTGGATGGTCAGCGAAGTCTTGGTTGCAAGATCAGTTAGGCCCAATAGGAGCAGTGATGGTTCAGATTTTAATCGCAGCTCTGATAGCGCTGTGTGTGATGTTTTGCTTTTGTACTTTGTTACTGACCTTTGCAAAAGCTATGATATTAAGATGGGTTGGTGTTGTGATGCCTGGAGACAACACTCAGATGCCGTTGTTGATTGTTCCTGATCTGGACGAAGATGGACGAGGGGGTCTAGATGGACTACTGATGGATAAATATCCTTTTTGATTATTTGATCATTTTACAAATTTTTTTTCAATATTAGTGTGATTTTTAGTATGATTTATGAATCAAGGGGGGAATGGGTTTATGTGATTCATGCATCATTTATATATCAGTTTTATAGTCTTAGTGGATAGTGATGTTTAATTTGAAAGTGTTTTTTTGGAAAAGATACTGTTTGGTCTTTTTCTTTTTCTTTTTCTTCCAGAGGCATTTGGGAGAACATGTGGAGATTGGAATATTCAGACAAAGACAATATGAAGGGACAATATGACTGGAGGAGATGAAACAAGGAGGGTGTGGCTGATTCCATCATTAACAAGTCCATTGGAAGTCGAGACTACGGAGGAGATGAAGTGTAGTGGACTACATTCCAGTGTCTGCAATGAAATATAGACATATTTGATGTGTAATACATAATTGTGTCATATTCTCAGGGATTAATTTTTGTAGAATGATGTTTGATGTAATTGGATACATGTAAGGATCTTAGATGTTTTTGTTTATTTCGGTGAATGTTTAGGGACAGAGAGGCTAGGAAGGGAGAGTTTCATTGTCCGGTTCTATGGGTTGACCAGCCGTACAATGGATGTTTATGGATAGGATTTTGTTTGCATGTTTGCAGGGGCTTACATGTGTATTTAATTGCATCATAGTTTCAAATGCATTTACATGAGTTATGAGGTTATCTGGAGTACCGACGGTGGTTGCCTGGGGCAGAGGGACCGTGAGAGAATTTTACTGTCTTGATTGATATGGATGGATGGCTGCCAGACAGTTTTTCGCTCTTACACTCCATAGAGATTTCTTAATATTTCATAGTAATATATTCACACTTCATATGTCATAGTAATGTATTCACACTTCATAAACAGGTATTTCATAGAAAGGTATTTACACTCTAGAGGAGAATGTGTTTGGTTTAATGTTAAAGATACTCAATAAGATAAATGGTTAATAGTCATAATCTTATTCTGTTTGTTTTCGAGACGTTTATTTCGTCTCGAAAGGGGGGAATATCGTATCTGAAGATTATGCCTTTGTTAAATGTTTTGGAGGAACAAAGAATGTTGTTTTATGATCTTAGTTCAAATGTAGCGTTGGGAGGGTGATGCCCCAGGGGAGACTGGTGATTGGCCAGAAGAGGGGAGTCACTCCTCTTTTTGCATTGTTTATAAATAGGGGGTAAACGATGAGACGGCAGAACGGCCATAGCAATCTGGGAGCCGTTCTCCGGACATCGCGAGTCTGTATCTATGCTGTAAATTCGTGATTTTAATAAAAGCCTCTAACACGATGCAGCATAAAATGGACTCTTTGTTGACGGCAATAATGACCACCATTCATCATATACGACAAATGTCAGCTTCTTCTTTTTTTTACCCATTTACCAGTAGGTGCCCTTTGCAAGGCACTGGAAAACCTCCCTGATCTTTGTGGTTGAATCTGTGTTTGAAATTCACTGCTCGACTGAGGGACCTTACAGATAATTGTATGTGTGGGGTACGGATATGAGGTAGTCATTCAAAAGTCATGTTAAACACTATTATTGCACACAGTGAGTCCATGCAACTTATTATGTGACTTGTTAAGCAAATGTTTACTCCTGAACATATTTAGGCTTGCCATAACAAAGGGGTTGAATACGTATTGAATGAAGACATTTAAGCTTTTATGAATTTGTACAAATTTCTACAAACATAATTCCACTGTATGGGGTATTGTGTGCAGGCCAGTGACATAAAATCTCAATTTAATCTATTTTAAATTCAGGCTGTAACACAACAAAATGTGGAAAAAGTCAAGGGGTGTGAATACTTTCTGAAGCCACTGTAACTCTTTAATGGTTAACCTTCACCACCAATACAGAAATTAATCAAATTGACAACATTTCAGACCCAATTATTACAGTTGAAAGCACAATTTACTCTCCATGGTTAGTGCTACTCTTTTACCCCTATCCTAAATTCTTCAACATCTTTCGAAGTGCTTAATTGCAGTAGAAGAATGACTTCTAACGTTGACTATAGTACCTAGAAATCCATTCATACCTAATACACATGCAATTCAGGTAGAATTTCACAGAAGAATAGTTCATAGGTGGAAGGTTCCTCACTCAAGGCCCTCAGAGTGATTGTATCTTCTCATGAAGGCCGTGTTGTTGCCCGAGTGTAATAATAATAATATGCCATTTAGCAGACGCTTTTATCCAAAGCGACTTACAGTCATGCGTGCATACATTTTTGTGTATGGGTGGTCCCGGGGATCGAACCCACTACCTTGGCGTTACAAGCGCCGTGCTCTACCAGCTGAGCTACAGAGGACCACAGCTGTACTAGCTGTGTCTAAAAGTAGTCCTGTGGATAGTATCCAGGGGGCTGGTTGGCTCCTGCTCTGCCCCAGGATAACCTGGAGGATAACCCCCTCTTTCTGACCCCTCCTGCTGCTGGAACGTGGGGCATCTAGGACTGCGGATCCATCCTATGTACAGAGCAGCTCCCCAGTCTCGCCTCAGTGCCACTGCGCCCTCCAGTGGCTCGTTAGAGTAGTGGCAGGTCCAGGCTACAGGGACAATCAGCAGTATTCCAGACAGTACAAACACCACACCGGAGACAACTTTTACCTGATTCCTCTTCGGAAACCACACCTCTCCAATGATACTGATGACCACAGCAAAAGCTCCAGCACCTATAGAAGCCATGTTCAAGCCTCTCCATGTTCGGAAGTTTCCAGAGAGGAATAACAAAGACTGGTAGAAGGAGCAGTAGAGGCTACCATCATGGTTGAGGTCCCAGTGGTCCCATTCCAGTCACACCCCATCCCAGTATGACGGCAGCGTGGCTGTTGAGTTGTCCAGAGTACCGCTGACTTTCCACAGGGGCAGGCAGCAGGTGAGGATGGTGCACAGCCAGCCTGTAATGCCCAGGCCCAACACTGCTAGTTCCAACTGCCTCTTCATGACTGAGCTGAGCTTAGCTCCTCACAGGAAGAGGCCTAACAGCAGGGCTTAACCAGCTGCAGGCACAGAAGGGTGGGGTGTCTGTGTGCCTGTGTGTGTGTGCATGCGTGCCTGTGTGCCTGTGTGTGTGTCTAGCCTGTGTGATGTGAAACCGGTCCTCCTGGATTCCTGAAAAGAAAAGGGTGTGGGGCAGCAGTGCAGCTCTACAGCTGGGGAATAAAGGGGATTCCTTCTGTTTACTGTGACATGGTTTCACAACAATCCCTCTTTTTCAGTTTCTCCACTCAGCCACTAAAACAAAGATGCCACTGTGTGTTCTGTTGACTTCAGCCTCTGACTCTGTGGTCTTATAGGAAAATGTAATTGTTAAATAAGCCTTGTGTGCCTCCCCATGTACAGCATCTAGTCTTTCACACTTAATTCTGAATGTTCGATGTTCTCCCTTATCAGTTTTGATACACTTTTTCCATTAGACAAATAAAAGAGAGATGCAACAAAAGTAATTTCTAATCACAATGTTTATTTCTATTAAGTACAAATCGCAAATCATTCATAGAATATTATTTGTTGCCTGTTAAAGTACTAAATCTATTTTCTTAGCATGCATATTCTAGTCACAAAATTAACTGTGATAAACATTGTTACAAAAACACATTACAAGTAATAACCACAGTTAAATAGGATGGGGAAAAATGAAATTATGTGAATTACAATACAGGTATATAAAAACAATCAGGTTCATTCAGTGGATGTACTTGTACTGTCAATAACAGTAGCCTAGATTATATTTCAATAACAGATATTTCCTCAGTAAACATATTTCATGGTGATAGAGTGAACATTTGAATAGCTACAATTACCTACAGTGGGGGAAAAAAGTATTTAGTCAGCCACCAATTGTGCAAGTTCTCCCACAAAGATGAGAGAGGCCTGTAATTTTCATCATAGGTACACGTCAACTATGACAGACAAAATTAGAAAAAATATCCAGAAAATCACATTGTAGGATTTTTTATGAATTTATTTGCAAATTATGGTGGAAAATAAGTATTTGGTCAATAACAAAAGTTTCTCAATACTTTGTTATATATCCTTTGTTGGCAATGACACAGGTCAAACGATTTCTGTAAGTCTTCACAAGGTTTTCACACAATGTTGCTGGTATTTTGGCCCATTCCTCCATGCAGATCTCCTCTAGAGCAGTGATGTTTTGGGGCTGTCGCTGGGCAACACAGACTTTCAACTCCCTCCAAAGATTTTCTATGGGGTTGAGATCTGGAGACTGGCTAGGCCACTCCAGGACCTTGAAATGCTTCTTACGAAGCCACTCCTCCGGGCGGTGTGTTTGGGATCATTGTCATGCTGAAAGACCCAGCCATGTTTCATCTTCAATGCCCTTGCTGATGGAAGGTTTTCACTCAAAATCTCACGATACATGGCCCCATTCATTCTTTCCTTTACACGGATCAGTCGTCCTGGTCCCTTTACAGAAAAACAGCCCCAAAGCATGATGTTTCCACCCCCATGCTTCACAGTAGGTATGGTGTTCTTTGGATGCAACTCAGCATTCTTTGTCCTCCAAACACGACGAGTTGAGTTTTTACCAAAAAAGTTCTATTTTGGTTTCATCTGACATTCTCCCAATCCTCTTCTGGATCATCCAAATGCACTCTAGCAAACTTCAGACGGGCCTGGACATGTACTGGCTTAAGCAGGGGGACACATCTGGTACTGCAGGATTTGAGTCCCTGGCGGCGTAGTGTGTTACTGATGGTAGGCTTTGTTACTTTGGTCCCAGCTCTCTGCAGGTCATTCACTAGGTCCCCCCGTGTGGTTCTGGGATTTTTGCTCACCGTTCTTGTGATCATTTTGACCCCACGAGCCCCAGATCGAGGGAGATTATCAGTGGTCTTTATGTCTTCCATTTCCTAATAATTGCTCCCACAGTTGATTTCTTCAAACCAAGCTGCTTACCTATTGCAGATTCAGTCTTCCCAGCCTGATGCAGGTCTACAATTATGTTTCTGGTGTCCTTTGAGTGGCAGGTAGCTTAGTGGTTAAGAGCGTTGTGCCAGTAACCGAAAGGTCGCAGGTTCTAATCCCCGAGCCCACTAGGTGAAATATCTGTCGATGTGCCCTTGAGCAAGGCACTTAACCCCAATTGCTCCTGTAAGTCGCTCTGGATAAGAGCGTCTGCTAAATGACCAATTATTATTATTTGACAGCTCTTTGGTCTTGGCCATAGTGGAGTTTGGAGTGTGACTGTGTGAGGTTGTGGACAGGTGTCTTTTATACTGATAACAAGTTCAAACAGGTGCCATTAATACAGTTAACGAGTGGAGGACAGAGGAGCCTCTTAAAGAAGAAGTTACAGGTCTGTGAGAGCCAGAAATCTTGCTTGTTTGTAGGTGACCAAATACTTATTTTCCACCATAATTTGCAAATAAATTCATAAAAAATCCTACAATGTGATTTTCTGGAAAAAATAATCTCAATTTGTCTGTCATAGTTGACGTGTACCTATGATGAAAATTACAGGCCTCTCTCATCTTTTTAAGTGGGAGAACTTGCACAATTGGTGGCTGACTAAATACTTTTTTCCCCCACTGTAAGTCAGGCTTATTTTGTAACAAGAATCAATCAACATTATCTTATTTTTAAAAACCTCCACCAAAGCTATCAAATAGTTACAGGGCAATTCTAAATGTATGAAAGTCAGACAATACACTGAACGACCTGACATGCACAAAATAACAATGTTTTCATGGAAAAACATGCTGTGACATGTCTCTTTATAGTGCCAACACTATTTGCCTGAAGTTAACAGGAAAGTAAAGCACTTCCCTCTCACACATAGTTCTTTATGGCGTAGCTGCTGTGAGTTTGAATGGGCATCCTAGCCAGGGTGTACCTACTGCTGGACCCATGCCTGCCCTCTCTCCCCCCTGGAGGACAGCTGGCACACAGCACCCCTCCTCCACAGAACAGGAACCCAGAGGTCACCCAGCCCACATAGATGGCCGCCCCCATCTCCTTCTTCAGCACCTCAGGGACCCGCGGGTTATAGAAGTCCCTAATGATGGACTGGGCCGTCCAGGACACAGCCACTATGGTGCTTAATCCAGCCAGGGCGAAGGTGACCCCTGCGGCCTGCACCACGCAGGCTTTGAACCTGGGATTGCTCAGGCAGTTGGTGCATCTAGCCCCCAGGAGGAAGACGAGGAATGCCAGGCAGCCCAGTACCATGCTGATGACGATGAGGCCCCGCGCCGCCTGGAGGTCAGGAGACAGGTCTAGAAGAGCATCATAGATCTTACACTGCATCTGTCCCGTGGTTTCAGACACACAGGTCATCCACAGGCCCTCCCAGAACACCTGCATGACCACCAGGTGGGTGCCGATGAACGCTGTGACTTTCCACATGGGCAGGGCGCAGATCAGGATGGTGCCTGCCAGGCCCACCATGGACAGGGTGATGCCCAGCTCCTCCACAGCCATATGGGGGCGCTACAGCTTGTGCAGAACTTGGGATGAAAGGGAAAATAAGTATTAACAATATGCTCAAAATGGCTGTTTTCTCTTTTATCTCTGTGATTACAGCCTAGCAATTACCACAAATGTTTTCTTCTTCTTTCTTATTTTCCATTTACAAAGACAACAACACAGTGACATTTTTTTTTACATTGTGTGTCATTCTTATCCAGAGCGACTTACAGTAGTGAGTGCATACATTTTCGTACTGGTCCCCCGTGGGAATTGAACCCACAACCCTGGCATTGCAAGTGCAACTGAGCTACACGGGACAGAAAACAAACATCCAAACATGACAATAAACAATAGAAGGGGGAGGACACCCACTGAGTCCTGCCACAGCAAGCCAGGCATCCTGTGTGACGTGGCAGGAGGGGAGATACAGTTCATAAACAGTTCATGTATCTCCTGAGTGGCGCAGTGGTCTAAGGCACTGCATCGCAGTGCTAACTGTGCCACTAGAGATCCTGGTTCGAATCCAGGCTCTGTTGCAGCCGGCCGTGACCGGGAGACTCATGGGCGGCGCACAATTGGTCCAGGGTAGGGGAGGGAATGGCCGGCAGGGATGTAGCTCAGTTGATAGAGCATGGCGTTTGCAACGCCAGGGTTGTGGGTTCGATTCCCACGGGGGGCCAGTATAAAAATATATATGTATTCACTAACTGTAAGTCGCTCTGGATAAGAGTGTCTGCTAAATGACATAAATGTAAATAAACAAATACACAGTTGCTATGCTCTATGGTTTACACATGTTCTTCTAGTGTTCCAGAGACCCTCTGGGTCATTGTCATAGTCTTGGAGGGCTGATGTGGCTCGGTTTACGCACTTTCCAATTTATAAGTATGGTCAGTTTGACTGATAGGAAGGCCAATGCAATGATGTGTTGTGTGGTTCTAGGTTGGACATTGTCCACCCTACTTCCTAACAGGCACACTACAGGACAAAGTGGGATACATACAGTATGTATATAGCAGTAGTGTGTCATCAGTGTAGGCCCTATTTGATGGAGGGACATGACTGAGGTGTTGCACAATATTGCAGGTTTCTTTTAATAGAATAAGAAAGAAAATTAGAAGCAGTGAAACAGTCATTCATAGTGAAACGATGCTGAAGTTGATACTGGGTGGAATATGAGAAGGATTTGATCATTCAATCTCACTGAATATTAACAAAAACACCTAAGGCTAAGAGAAAATTTAATTATGAGACAAATTAGAAAAAAGGAAGGCATTAAGTCATTTTAAACTCTTTCAACATTTTCTGCATGAGAACGGCGTAACTGGATCCCCTCTCTCCCTGATCTACAGGTCTGATAGCAGGGGAACATAACACTGTTTTCTCACAGCTCAGTGTAAACCAACTCAACTCACACCAGTCTTTTTACAAACTCAACCATAATTGATTATTTTATTGATTTCGATATTACGAGAGTGGATTGATTGCTCCTTTACAATAGTAACTGTCACAATAGACATGTCTGCAGGACTTGTAATTGTACATGTTGGTCGAAAAACACATTGAAGTGATGTAGTCATTGAGTTTAAAGCCTGGGTGAAGTTCTCTTGTCAAACAGGTTTTGTCAGTGTTCTGTTTTAACCTCACAGAGAGCATTTTATGATCATGATGAATGCGTATAGGGAAACAAGGACATCAGTGGTGAATCAACACACACTCACCTGAAATATGAAAATATAGTTTATTGTAATGAAACAGAGAACATACAACAGTGTAAAAAGTTGCTGACTAATATAATTTGAAACAGTGTATAATCAACTTGACTGTACTTCAAGAAATAAATAACATTTACTTATACTGAACAAAAATATAAACGCAACACGCAACAATTTCTAAGATTTTGCTGAATTACAGTTCATATAAGGAAATCAGTCAATTCGAATTAATAAGGCCCTAATCTATGGATTTCACAACTGGGCAGGGGCTCAGCCATGGGTGGACCTGGGAGGGCATAGGTCCACCCACTTGGGAGCCAGGCCGACCCACTGGAGAGCCAGGCCCAGCCAATCAAAAGAAGTTTTTCCCAACAAAAGTGCTTTATTACAGACAGAAATACTCCTCAGCACCCCCTCCCCCCCTCCCGCAGGTGAAGAAGCCGGATGTGGAGGTCCTGGGCTGTCGTGATTACACGTGGTCTGTGGTTGTGAGGCCGGTTGGAAGAACTGCCAAATTCTCTAAAACGACGTTGGAGGTGGCTTATGGTAGAGACATTAACATTCAATTCTCTGGCAACAGCTCTGGTGGACATTCCTGCAGTCAGCATGCCAATTGCATGCTCCCTCCAAACTTGAGACATCTGTGCCCTTGTGTTGTTTGAAAAAACTGCACATTTTAGAGTGGCCTTTTATTGTCCCCAGCACAAGGTGCACCTGTGTAATGATCATGCTGTTTAGTCAGCTTCTTGATATGCCACACCGGTCAGGAGGATGGATTAACTTGACAAAGGATCAAATGCTCACTAACAGGGATGTAAACAAATTTGTGCACAACATTTGAGAGAAATAAGCTTTTTGTATGTATGGAACATTTCTGGGATCTTTTATTTCAGCTCATGAAACACTTTACATGTTGCGTTTATATATTTTTGTTCAGTGTTCAATACCAGTGAAAAGTTTGGACACACCTACTCATTCAAGGGTTTTTCTTAATTTTTTACTATTTTCTACATTGTAGAACAATAGTGAAGACATCAAAACTATGAAATGCCAAGAGAGTGCAAAGCTGTCATCAAGGCAAATGGTGGCTATTTGATGAATCTCAAATATAAAATATATTTTAATTTGTTTAACACTTTCTTACTACATGATTCCATATGTGTTATTTCATAGTTTTGATGTCTTCACTATTATTCTACAATGTAATTTTTTTTTTTACAAATAAAGAAAAACCCTTGAATGAGTAGGTGTGTCCAAACTTTGACTGGTAGTGTATTTCTAAACAGTAGCATATTAATACACTCATACACTCTTAGAAAAAAATGGTTAGTTGGCTGTCCCCATAGGAGAACCCTTTGAAGAACCCTTTTTGGTTGCAGGTAGAACCCTTTTGAGTTATATGTAGAACCCTTTCCACAGAGGGAACCGAAAAGGGTTCCCCTATGGTAAAGCTGAAGAACCCTTTTGGAACCCTTTTTTCTTAGAGTGTAGTGTTTCCCTGGCTAATCAATCAAAAAGTTAAGTGCCTATTTTCCTTCATAGTACACTGTTATTGCATACAATATCCTTCCACTGGTATCTTTTCCTTTATATTCCACCGTCCGTCCATATACAATGGCTTGCGAAAGTTTTGTTGCATTACAACCTGGAATTAAAATAGATTCTGGGGGGGGTTGTATCCTTTGATTTACACAACATGCCTACCACTTTGAAGATGCAAAACAATTTTTTTTGTAAAACAAACAAGAAATAAGACAAAAAAAACAGAAAGTCTCTTGGGGTATGTCTCTATAAGCTTGGCACATCTAGCCACTGGGATGTTTGCCCATTCTTCAAGTTGGATGGGTTCCGCTGTTGTACAGCAATCTTGAAGTCATACCACAGATTCTCAGTTGGATTGAGGTCTGGGCTTTGACTAGGCCATTCCAAGACATTTAAATTTTTCCCCTTAAACCACTCGAGTGCTTTAGCAGTATGCTTAGGGTCATTGTCCTGCTGGAAGGTGAACCTCCATCCCAGTCTCAAATCTCTGGAAGACTGAAACAGGATTCCCTCAAGAATTTCCCTGTATTTAGCGCCATCCATCATTCCTTCAATTCTGACCAGTTTCCCAGTCCCTGCCGATGAAAAACATCCCCACAGCATGATGCTACCACCACCATGCTTCATTGTGGGGATGGTGTTCTCGGGGTGATGAGAGATGTTGGGTTTGCGCCAGACATAGCGTTTTCCTTGATAGCCAAAAAGCTAAATTTTAGTCTCATCTGACCAGAGTACCTTCTTTCATATGTTTGGGGAGTCTCCCACATGCGTTTTGGCAAACACCAAATGTGTTTGCTTATTTAGCAAGGGCTTTTTTTCTGGCCACTCTTCCGTAATGCCCAGCTCTGTGGGTGTACGGCTTAAAGTGGTCCTATGGACAGATACTCCAATCTCCGCTGTGGAGCTTTGCAGCTCCTTCAGGGTTATCTTTGGTCTCTTTGTTGCCTCTCTGATTAATGCCCTCCTTGCCTGGTCCGTGAGTTTTGGTGGGCGGCCCTCTCTTGGCAGATTTGTTGTGGTGCCATATTATTTCCAATTTTTTATAATGAATTTAATGGTGCTCCGTGGGATGTTCAAAGTTTCTGATATTTTTTTATAACCCAACCCTGATCTGTACTTCTCCACAACTTTGTCCCTGAGCTGTTTGGAGAGCTCCTTGGTCTTCACGGTGCCGCTTGCTTGGTGGTGCCCCTTGCTTAGTGGTGTTGTAGACTCTGGGGCCTGTCAGAACAGGTGTATATATACTGTGATCATGTGACAGATCATGTGACACTTAGATTGCACACAGGTGGACTTTATTTAACTAATTATGTGACTTCTGAAGGTAATTGGTTGCACCAGCTCTTACTTAGGGGCTTCATAGCAAAGGGGGTGACTACACCACCTTCCGGAGACATTTGAAACCCCACCTCTTTAAGGAATACCTGGGATAGGCTAAAGTATTCCTTCTAACCCCCCCCCCCCCCCCCCCAAATTGTAAAGTGGTTATCCCACTGGCTATAGGGTGAACGCACCAATTTGTGAGTCGCTCTGGCTAAGAGCGTCTGCTAAATGACGTTGATGTGCCCTTGAGCAAGGCACTTAACCCTAATTGCTCCTGTAAGTCGCTCTGGTTAAGAGCGTCTGCTAAATGACTAAAATGTAAAAAAATGTAAAAATGTACATATGCACGCACCACTTTTCCGTTATTAATTTTTTTGAATTTTTTTAAACAAGTTATTGTTTTCATTTCACTTTTTTGTGTATGTCCATTACATGAAAGGAGGGGTACACTCCTCCGGACCGTACCCCTCCTCACTCCATGAGGTACTGAAAGCCCCCCAACCGACGCCTCGAATCCAGGATGGAATGGACGGAGTACGCCGGGACCCCCTCGATGTCCAGAGGGGGCGGAGGGACCTCCCCGCACCTCAGATTCCTGGAGCGGACCAGCCACCACCGGCATGAGGAGAGACACGTGAAACGAGGGGTTAATACCGGTAATAAGGAGTGAGCAGCAACCAATACATAACCTTGTTCTCTCTCCTCAGGACTTTAAAGGCCCCACAAACCGCGGGCTCAGCTTCTGGCAGGGCAGGCGGAGGGGCAGGTTTCCCGGGTCGAGAGCCAGACCCGATCACCCGGCACAAAGACCGGGGCCTCACTGCAGTGGCTGTCATCGTTGGCATTCTGGCGACGCATGGCACGCTGGAGGTGGATGTGGGCGGCATTCAACGTCTCCTCTGTGCGCCGAAACCAGTCGTCCACCGCAGGAGTGTCAGTCTGGCTCTGATGCCACGGTGCCAGGACCGGCTGATACCCTAAAACACATTGAAATGGTGACAGGTTAGTGGAGGAGTGGCAGAGAGAGTTCTGGGCATATTCGGCCCATGGCAAGAACGCCGACCACTCCCCCGGCCGGTCCTGGCAGTTCACCCGTTCCACCTCCCCATTAGATTCGGGATGAAACCCAGAAGTCAGGCTGACCGAGACCCCTAGACGTTCCATGAACGCCTTCCAGACCCTAGACGTAAACTGGGGACCCTGGTCAGACACTATGTCCTCTGGCACCCTGTAGTGTCGGAAGACGTGAGTAAACAGGGCTTCCGCAGTTTGCAGGGCCGTGGGGAGACCGGGCAGAGGAAGGAGACGGCAGGCTTTAGAGAAGCGGTCCACAACGACCAGAATGGTGGTGTTACCCTGAGAGAGGGGAAGATCAGTTAGAAAATCAATCGATAAGTGGGACCATGGCCATTGTGGAACTGGTAAGGGATGTAACTTACCCGCTGGAAGGTGCCTAGGTGCCTTACTCTGGGCGCACACCGAGCAGGAGGAGACATACTCTCACGTCCTTAGCCAAGGTAGGCCACCAGTACTTCCCGGTCAGGCAGCGCACTGTACAGCCGATGCCTGGGTGACGAGAGGAGGGGGACGTGTGTGCCCAATAAATAAGACGATCACGGACACTAGACGGCACGTACCGAAGCCCAGCTGGGCACTGAGGTGGAGATGGCTCTGTGCGTAACGCCCATTCTATGTCTGCGTCCACCGCCCACACCACCAGCGCCACAATGCAGGATGCCGGGAGTATGGGGGTGTTGTCATGGGCCTCTCCTCTGTGTCGTACAGCCGTGACAGTGCGTCTGCCTTCACGTTCTTAGTGCCTGGTATATAGGACAGCGTGAAATCAAACCGGGTGAAGAACAAGGCCCACCTGGCCTGGCGAGGGTTCAGCCTCCTCGCTGCCCGGCTGTACTCCAGGTTACGGTGGTCAGTCCAGACGAGGAAAGGGTGTTTAGCCCCATTGAGCCAGTGCCTCCACGCTGTCAGGGCTCTGACAACAGCCAACAGATCCCGATCACCAACGTCATAGTTCTGCTCCACCGGGCTGAGCTTCTTAGAGAAGAAGGCACAAGGGCGGAGCTTGGGTGGCGTACCCGAGCGTTGGGATAGGACAGTGCCTACCCCTACCTCGGACGCATCCACCTCCACTACAAACGGCATTGATGGATCGGGATGGGCCAGTACCGGGGCTGAGGTGAACAGAGCCCTCAGGTTACTCAAAGCCCTGTCAGCCGCAGCAGACCAGCGGAGCCGGGATGGCCCATCCTTCAACAGAGAAGTGATGGGGGCTGCGACCTTGCCAAAGCCCTGGATAAACCTCCGATAGTAATTGGCAAAGCCAATGAAGCACTGCACCTCCTTAACCATGGTTGGAGTCGGCCAATTACGCACGGCTGAAATGCGGTCTCCCTCCATCTCCACACCTGAGGTGGTGATGTGGTATCCAAGGAAGGAGATGGATTGTTGGAAGAACAGACATTTTTCTGCCTTGGCATACAGGTCATGCCCCAACAGTCGGCCAAGCACTCTGCGAACCAGGGACACGTGCTCGGCTTGCGTAGCGGAATACACCAGGATGTCATCGATGTAGACCACCATACCGCGACCAAGCATGTCCCGAAACACCTCGTTCACAAAGGACTGGAAGACTGATGGAGCATTCATCAATCCATACGTCATCACCATGTATTCATAATGCCCTTTGGTTGTGCTAAATACTGTCTTCCATTCTTCCCCTTCCTGGACACGCACCAGGTTGTACACACTCCTGAGATCTAATTTCGTGAAGAAGCGTGCCACATGCATTGATTCGATCACAGAGGAAATGAGGGGTAGACAGTAACTAAAGAGAATGGTAGCTTTATTAAGTGCACGGTAATCAATGCAAGGGCGCAGACCCCCGTCTTTCTTCTTCACGAAAAAGAAACTTGAGGAGGCGGGTGAAGTGGAGGGACGTATGAACCCCTGACGCAGGGACTCGGAGACGTATGTCTCCATAGCCTCCATTTCAGCCTGCGACAGGGGATATACATGACTCCTGGGCGGAACAGCGTCTAACCGGAGGTTTATCGCGCAATCCCCCGCCCGATGGGGTGGTAATTTGGTCGCCTGCGTTTTGGAAAAAGCGTGCGCCAAATCGAGGTATTCGGGGGAATGCGCACGGTGGAGGCAATGTCTGGACTTTCCAAGGTGGTCGCACCAACGGAAACAGCTAGACACCTACCCTGACACTCTCGCGACCACCCCGTGAGAACCCTCTGCGGCCATGAAAAGGTGGGGTCGTGTAGTGCTAACCAGGGAAAGCCCAACACAACAGGGAAATCAGGGGACTCAATAATATAAAAGGTGATTTGCTCATTATGGGTCTCCTGCATAATCATAGTGACTGGTGCTGTAACCTCCCTAACAAAACCTGACCCTAATGGTCGATTGTGAAGTGCTTTGATGGGCAATGGAATGGACAGGGGAACCAATATAATACGTAGACTAAGAGCTAAAGACCTGTCCATAAAGTTCCCAGCTGTGCCTGAATCTACCAGCGCCTTACACTGGGGACCTACCGTGTAATCAGGGAAGTTGATGTGGATGGTTAAATGCGCAGCAGAGAGCTCTGAACGAGTGTGGGTTTGCGCTACCTGGGGTGACGCGAGAGTGCAGCAGAATGTCCTCTCTTGCCACAAGAGTGACACTGGATCTGTCGTCCTCCTTTCCCCCAGAACGCTCCACCACCAAGCTCCATCAGAACGTGAGCCGGGGTGAGGGGGGGTGAAACGGGCAGGTCCCTTCCTGGACGTCCTCTCGAAGCCAGCAGGTTGTCCAACTGGATGGCCATGGCCACCAGTTGGTTGATTTCAGAGTGGTATCCCGGCAGGCTAGCTCCCTTCGGACATCCTCACGCAGGCTGCATCGGAAATGGTCGATGAGGGACCACTCGTTCCACCCGGACCCAGCCGCTAGAGTTCTAAACTCCAGGGCAAAGTTTTGCGCGGTCCTTGTCCCCTGCCTCAGATGGAACAGACGCTCGCCCGCCTCTCTTCCTTCGGGGGGATGATCAAAGAGGTGAGCGAACTCTCCGTAGTTGTACAACGCGTCTCCTCCTTCACTCCAGATTGCGTTGGCCCACTCCAGGGCTTTTTTCCCCGAGAGGCAGGAGACGAGGGCGGACACCTTCTCCCGATACGATGGACCAGGGCTGATGGTGTTGAAATAGAGGTGAAAAAAAACACACGGGTGAATATCCCAGCGATAAAAGTACATAATGTTCAACCGAGCTAGCGACACCTCCACATGGAAACAATAACACACAAAGACATGTGGAGCAGAGGGAATACTTACACAGAGACTGATGAGGGGATATGAACCAGGTGTGTGTGAAAAACAAGACAAAACAAATGGAATGATGGAAAGAGGAGCGGCAGTGGCTAGAAGGCCGGTGACGACGAACGCCGAAGTTTGCTCGAACAAGGAGAGGAGGCAGCTTCGAAGGAAGTTGTGACACATATCCCTTATACTACATCTGCCCTGTGCTCTGGACCACACAACTCATCCAGATGCCCTACCAGATGGTTTGCGAGGTGACAATGTTTTTTCTGATGAAGGCTGTGACCCTCCACATGGGCACGCCGCAAACAATGATCGTCGTCACCCAGCCGAGCAATGCCAGGGCACTGCCCAGCATCTGCATGCCCATGGAACACATTCTGAATGCAGTGTCTCTCTGTCTCTCTGTACTCGTCGACTAAATCTTTGTGTCTCCGAGTTAATATCGGAAGGCAATCAGGTGTTTATGTACATTTGAAAACGAGAAAGAAGAATGTTACTGGCTGTTCCGGCTTTAAGAAACTGAGAGCCAGCCAAATAATACCAGCCTTACAGGATACTTTGTTGTCTGTGGACAATAGAGGTGGGAGTTTCATTTTATTCTCCTTTTTGGAGATGGTAGATCAGTTTACAAAAGTTGTTATTGTTCGAACATCCTATGAGGAACGAGGATGTAGGTATGTGCTTGAAAACTCACCAGCTTGAAAACTCAAACAGCAAAATTAACTTTCAATGGGATTAATTTCACCTTATTAGCAATAGATGGCAAATAGTGCTGAAATAAGTTTATAGATAGTCGTGGGAGGGCAGAAAGGAAAAGAGAGGAGGGGCCTATAAAGTACCCTTCTCGCCCTGTGTGTATTTTTGAACTCATCATACCTTCATAGTTTACACATTCTCAACTAAAAAACAACAGTGATTTGCTTTGCTGACACACCTATGTCAAGCTTCACTTCCACTGGGTTAGAGAGGTCACAGTATCCAGAGCATGCAGTCTGCCCCAACCAGTTTGGAGACATTCACATTGCATTGACACACCAATAGACAAAAAAGAGAGGGGGGGGGGGGGGGGGGTAGAGGGTGAGAGATAATCTGATCTGTTTAAACTCAAACAACATATTTTTATAATGTACACTGTTAACTTTAGCATTATGTAATGTATGTAAACAGCGTCTCACTGTCACAAGAAGAAGATGTAACGTGACATGTTTTGGTAACCTTGGCACATGGATTTACGATGTAGTTTCAGGGGTGATAAGGTGATACTGTTCTTAATGCTTCGTAGTTAGAGAAAGTAGTTACTATTGTCTATTCAACAATGAAAACAAACCAGGTTCTACCAGTTATCCTAAATTCTAGTCTTTTCAATCTAAACAAAAATAAATTATGAAAATATCTAGTAGGCCTAAACATTCTGGCTTATCTCTGCACACAATCTCTACATAGCTGGTTCTGAAAGGAAGCCATTTTAAATAGCAGAGCTGTTTCACAGACAATAGTTTTTTCTTATCTCACCTGACATAAGTTGGGTAACTGGTTCATCTGTGCATTCTTGCCCCTCCTTAAAGATTTTGAAAATTGATTGGTGTCAACCTGTCACTGCCAGTCTTTACAATAAATGTCTCAGTGAGTATTTCCAATAATGGGGGAAATCTATTTCAAATCAGTGTTCTCAGGATTGTGTTAAATACTTTCCTCACTTTCTTACTCGAATCAATGGGATGTAAAGTCCCAAAACCACTTTTGGTGTCATTCAAACAGAAGACAGTGAGGGAGGATCATCAGTAGGTCCTTTCACCTAAATACTATGCTATTAGACATTTTCAGCTAAGATTTCAGCTGAGAAAAAGAAAATCACAGTAACTTGGAGTCAATTTCTTAAAAATACAGTTAACACCAATGTATAAACTTTGTTGGAAACTTTTTATATAAAAAAATAAGGTTTGCAATTGAATAAGTTCTTTAGACATAATCAATGAACATATATTGAACAGAAACACTTGGCTGTTTGCAAAACATACTGTGATCTACTGTACAAAGTTATGACAAGTCAATTATACATATATACTGTACACATGGTTTAATTCTCAAATCATATAGTCCATGTTCTTACATCAATGTTATCATTCTGGCACAGTGTCCTTATAGGGTAAAAGAGAAGTTAGGGTTAAGGGAAAGGCTTCAATTCACTTCAGTCATCACCCCATGACTCATGAGATGATCCCTCTACACAGCGAAAACAGTAGTACTACTTCTCTGTATTGTCGTTTCTTATAGGGAACAGTTCTGTCTTGTCTTTTTCTTGGAAAGCACTGAAGCGCTCAGTAAATTTGTTTTCACATATTCACTCTGTTCGGATTTCACATCACTTTCAAAACGTAAAATGGAAAAGAACAAGACTGGAAAATACCAGTAACTTGCATGGTATTTTCAATACACAGAAGATTACCAAAGATAATCAAATAATTTACAGTCTCTCTTTCAACAGTTTCCAGCTCAAACGTAAGCTCTGCTGGTAGCTGTGGACCTTGCCTGTGAGTACTTCACTGGGTAATCGTCACGCTCCTCCTTGGGTGGGCAGGAGCTGCAGAGGAGCCCCCCTCCCAGGATCAGGAGCCCTGCGGTGCCCCAGCCGATGTACAGTGAGGCCCCCAGCTCTCTCCTCTGGGCCTCGACCAGCAGAGGGTTGTAAAAATCCCTGATGATGGTGTTAGCGGACCAGCAGACAGGGACGAGGATGAGGACACCAGCCACGATGAAGATGATCCCGCTAGCAATGGCTACTTTGGCTTTGGAAGCCTCATCCTCCACAAAGTTGGTGCACTTTCCTCCAGCAATTCCCAGGAGGATGCCGAAGCATGACGCGATGATAGCGATGACGCTCAGAGCTCTGGCGGCCTGCAGGTCCTGGGGTAAGGCCAGGAGGGAGTCGTAGATCTTGCACTGCATCTGTCCCGTGCTCTGGGTCACACAGTTCATCCACAGGCCCTCCCAGATGACCTGAGCAGTCACAATGTTGGCTCCGATGAAGGCTGTGACTTTCCACATAGGCAGGGCACACACAATGATGGTCCCCAGGAACCCGATGATAGCCAGGGCGAAGCCCAGCATCTGTCTTCCCATCGACACCATTTTGAAGCCTTCTTGTCTTTTGTTGTAAAATCAATGAAGCTCAGGCAGAGGTTGTAGAGGAGAGTAAATGCAGGTCAGCTCAACTTGGTTGTAATCGTTGTTAACGAATGATTAAGTCACGTCCCCTGACGTTATATGGATCTCTCTGCTCCTGAAAGGGTGGAGTTAACTGCCTTCCCCCTGACCTGAAACCAGCTGACAAGGTAATTTTCAAGCCGGACCAGATTCTTTCACCTCCCCTGTCGGTATGTGTGGATGACGACCGGTATCGAAGACATGCTAACAAAAACAAGACCTATGAAGAAGAGATAGTAATTGGTCCATTCACACAACGCCTCTGTAGTGAATGCCGGTTGGCTGGGTGGTTAAGCCTGTCTGCCCACAGGTTTCAGGGTAGAGAGATAAGCCGTCAACAATGCCACCTGAATTCTCATTAGTCTTGGCCGGAAGTTCGAAGCTACTCATTTTGTTCCCCGTTTTCATGATGACATTGTTTATTGCAACTATTGTTTCCTGTAATCAAGATTTGTCATAGCCAGAAGTAATTTTAGGCCTATATTCAGTCTCTGTTTTCTTGGTTTGATCCTGAACCCATTTCTTTCATTTAATAAACCAATACATGAAATAAACACATTACAGAACATTGCCTTTAAGCTCAGTACAGATCTAAGAGACCTTGATTTTAAAGAAAGTTGTTGGTAATCTAATTTAACAACCTATTTGAGTTACAGTTTAGACCCTGAAAACTACCCAACTGAGCACAGACTTCAATTCAACGTCTATTCCACGTTGGTTCATGAACGTAATTTTAGTGAAATGACGTGGAAACGACGTAGATTCAACCAGTGTGTGCCCAGTGGGATGTTTGAATATTTGGAGAGAGGAGATATGAGGTAGCGTTTGAGTAACCATGCTATCTCCTAAATAAAATGAGATTTACAGATACAACGTCATCATGTAACTGAAAGATATTGATCCCTTAAAATCCTTAAGAGTCTATTGACACACCCCATCAAAATCCGTCAGTTTAAGCTAGAGATATCTTTTTTTGCATGGGCTGTGTCTCAATCTGCCACATCCGCCTATGTCGGCCTTCCGCAAATTAGCTGTGTTTCGTTTTTGTATATATCCATAAAAATTATGCCAGCTGATTCATGTTTTCGACTGGCTGAGAAACGCTGCCTGCCTGTATGTCTGTCTCGTCCCTACTCCCGACACGTTCAATACTATGGGACAGCAGGAGATCGAATTTCAATATTGAAACAACGTTGCAAATGTCTGAGAGACAGACAGCAAGGTTTATACAAATCTCTGTTGTTGAAAACTAAATGTTAGTCTAAAAGAAATGTGAGATAATGTCTAGATGCTTTTTATAGTGGAAATCAAGTTTATAAGTTGCCTGGATGGGCTGATGAGACAGTGGACTGCGCAGTCAGATGGAACAGAGTAAAAGGCATTTTAACGTCATAGATTTAGCCGGTGGCAACTTGTGGAATAGACACCGGCTGGAATGTGGTTTTAACCAATCAGCATTCAGGATTAGACCCACAACTGAAGGTAACCCATAACAATGAATGGAAGTATGGAGGTAGTTTTGTGTAAACAAAAAAAGATATGTATATATATCCTGATCTTTCTTATATCTCCTAGATATAGCACAGACACTTCAAAACCTTATTCCTTATGATTTATTTTTACATGTATTTTGCCATTTTAGAATGTGTTATTCAATGCGCTGCTATGAGCTACAGTAGTAATGGCCAAATTCAATCTTTTTCCAAATAATTTATAAATATTATTATTTTTATACCTGAAGGGGTCCTAAAATTCCAAATGAAATAGCTAAATGATCCATGGTATGACCATCTTAAAACAATTCCATATGTTAGCTTAGTACCCCCTGCCCCCCAACGGCTTAGACGTTTAGATTAATGATTTAAGGCAGAGTTTAATTAAAAATACAACTTTTAAAACATGAATAGAAAGTTAGAAAATGCATAGGCTTTAATTATTGGTATGATTATTGCTCACAGTTCATGAACATTTGAAATTGCAGTTGTTGTTTCCCAACTTTTCCACAAAGACACATTAAGACCACAAATTATTCTATATCATAAAATGTGTATTTCTTTTTTGTAAAAAATAGGCACAAAATATTTACAGAAAAATGTGTTGTTTTTTTGTGTACAGATACATCACAAGTCATAGGTCAGCCAGCTATTTACAAGACAACAGGATCGGTTGCACAATGGGAGAAGAACACAGGTTGCTGCTAAAATTAACATTTATTTTTTATTTAACCAGGCAAGTCAGTTAAGAACAAATTTTTATTTACAATGACGGCCTACACCAGCCAAACCCGGACAACGCTGGGCCAATTGTGCGCCGCCCTATGGGACTCCCAATCACGGCCGGTTGTGATACAGCCTGGAATCGAACCAGGGGGATCTGTGGTGACGCCTCAAGGACTGAGATGCAGTGCCTTAGAACGCTGCGCCACTCGGGAGCCCATTTAAGCTACATCCATTCTCATTATCAAACAATTTCTTGTAATGTTTGCATACTAGTATAGTAGTCAAGACATAAAGATTTACATTTATGTCAACATTTGAAAGAACAGATTCTTCCTCTTGTGTGAAGGTGCAAACACTTGTAAACATAATGAATTTAATTCACACTGAATCATTTTCATGTCTAAAAATTGCATGTTATTCTCATCAATAACAATATCTACATATCAATGTGGACAAAAGTACATGATATAAGTACATTTTGGTGGTGCAAAGCTAAGCAAAACAAAAGCTTGAAAACATCAAGTTCGAGAATACCAGTCAATATTCAGGGAGACCTTCCCTCTTTCCATTTCACTTTGTTACAGATACTGTCCAGGCCGTCCAGGTGCAGTGTATGCTATTGGTGCTGCATACGGCTTGTTTGGTACATACGACCCTGTCCCTGAGTAGGGTCTGCTGGTTGGGGTGTAAACTCTCCCATAGGGCCCTGCCTGGACCATTGGTTGGCCTGGATAGGGGTACATGGGCGCTCCTTGAGGATAGCCTGGGTACCCATACATCTTCTGGGGTGGGCAGGAGGTGCAGAGGGTGATACCCCCGATGAGGAGCAGAGCTGTGGAGCCCCAGCCGATGTAGATGGAGGCTCCGAGTTCCCTCCTCTGGGTCTCGATGGTCAGAGGGTTATTAAAGTCTGAGATGGTGAACGCCGCCGACCAGCAGACAGGGATGAGGACCAGAAGACCACTAATGAGCAGCAGGATGCCTCCAAGGATCGTCACTTTACTCTTGGAGGAATCAGACTTCAGGCAGCTGGTGCACTGGCCCCCGATGAAGGTGACAATCAGGCCAACAAAGCTGAAGATGATGGAGATGATGACCATGGCCCTTGCTGCCTGAAGGTCTGTTGCTAGCCTCATCACTGAGTCGTTTATCTTACACTGCATCTGTCCCGTGCTCTGCATCACGCAGTTCATCCACAGACCGTCCCACACGATCTGCCCTGTTACGATGTTGGCACCGATGTAAGTGGTCACCCTCCACATGGGGATACCCGTGGTCACTGCCACCCCCACGAAGCCGAGGAAGCTGAGCACCTGGCCCGACACCTCCTTGCCGATCCTCCCCATGACGAGAGGCTGTGTCTTGAGTGGGAAAAAGAGAAGTCTGGCTGCCTAGTTCTAGATCTCTGGAGCTATGTGGTATGTCTGATTGACGATCAGAAACAACTGGAGCCTGCTGAGGAGGAAGAATGTGCAGGAGGAGGGGTTTCCTGCCACCAGGTGAGTTGTTCCTGACAGACCAGTTTCCTCAGGCTGTCACACTGCTGTCACACTTGTGACACACAGACAGAGCTGAAGGAGTGGTGATAATCATTGGGATTGCACGTCCTCCAACCTGATACCATCTACACTGAAACTCGCACTTCCATGAAGGCATGACCCATCTACCAAAATGCTAAATTCCAGACCTTCATTGTGACTTTGAAAATGTAAATACACATATGCAGGCCAATTTATTTTACAAATAAGAAAGTTGGTTTTACCGACACCGTGTGTATCAACATTGGAAAATACTATATTTCAAAGATGTATGTATATGACATGTTATGAAAGTGACATTCCACTACCAGTTAGTCAATGTGTCATTTGTTTCCACAAGTGACTCACTGTGGTCTGATCATTTTGCATTTCATCATCTGCAGGTTACAATAAACTGTCAACAACTTGCAACTTAGGGAAAAGGGTAATGGTGACACTTCCTAACCACATCGGAACATATATTCATCCCAAAAACCCTCACCTAACCACAAGAGCCATTTAGATTATGCTTAAGATACATTGAACACATTGTGTTGGGGAAATGGTTCAAACATGGAGACCCCAAACCACCAGCCTCGTATAAGACTACCAAACCACTACAGTATTTAGAAATATCTATGTCAGGCTTTGACAAGCCTAACAAGGAGGGGTAAAGGAGGGAGGGAGCATGTGTGAGATGGATTAAATGATTAAGTGGACCCTGGAGGAGATTTAAATAGTTATTGGCATTTGGTTTAATCTACTTTGTGGACAGTATTACCACACTGCCTCAAAGTAAATGTCCAGACTATGGAGTAGCCCATCCTACACAGGCCCTTTTTCGTACAACAGTCCAACCACTCCACACCCAATACTATTGCTTCAGCTGAAAATGTGACAGCAATGTGCAAGGAATCACTCATTAAAAATGTGGAATAAAATATATTTGTAGAATTTTAAAAACTTTATTGGAAAATGTGTTTAAATTATTGGAGTTAAAACAAAAAAGTCAGTTCAAAAGCCCCAAAGCAACATTGTTAGGCTAGTCAATGTTCAAAGCAAATATTGCCATGTGCTCACACATAGGCTGCTCTTGCCGAATAGGATTTTACAGATCTTGCCATGTTGTATTTGGAGGAGTGTCCCCGATCCTGGCTTGGTGAACACTGGCTACAGAAAATCCCTCTACCCAGAAGCATGAGTCCCGCGTACCCCCAGCCTATGAAAATCCTCCCGATGGTTTGGCGACTGTGGACATCTTGTCCTCGATGCAGTTGGTGCATTTTCCCCCAATGATAGACAGCAGGATGGCTATAAGTGCGACCAGATGACCACCAGGGCCACATATCCATTATCTGTGCTGTGACAATGTTGTTGCCAATGAACGCGGTCACTTTCTCCATGGAAAGCGCGCACATGTTAATGTCTCCAAACCATCCGATCATGCCGAGTAAAATGCCCAGAATTTGCAAACAAGCTGAAAGCATGGTCGGCTACTTCTAGATGGTGTTAAGATGCCAAACCGTGGTTACGTTTATAAAAGCATGTAGCCTATGAAGCACGCTTATATGCACCTGTGGGGTCTAGATGAACCACACCTGATAACAATTGTCTGGTGCTGTGCGGATTGGCCTGTTGGTGTGGTAGACTAATCAGTAGGTCTAACTGAAACCTAATGTAGTAGGCCTAACAATGACAGTAGGCTACAGATGTTTTAGAGGCTGCGTTTACAGAGATTTTTTTGATGTGATTGGTCAAAAGACCAATTAGTGGGAAAAATATCAGAATTGGGCTGTCTGTGTAAACAGCCGAATTCTGATTTTCCACATCTTTTATTGTTTTTCTATTTTATGATCAAGTCAACATGAATCTGATCATTATCAAGCATCTCAATAGTTATTCTAAATAGGTCAGTGTTTACACACCAAGCAGAGCAGAGTGTAGGGGTGTTTGTACTGATACTGGATCAAATGTTTTACCACAACAGAGAGATAATACACCTCACTAATACCCCAGTGAAAGTACACATTTGAGGGATTAATTATTGCGCTTTCATAAATAAATGGATAATACAGACTTATTATATTTATATTGTGCAGTTTATTTACAATGATGACACGTTTGTTTTAATCAGCGGAACAATGTTAAGACAGTGCCAAAATGAAGACATGATATAGAGTATTCCTAACCTAATTGATTTCATTTGACATTAAAGTATATAAACAGGGTACTTCAGTGGTAGAGAATATCAGGTGTTTAAAATATATATATTACAGTTATAACATAACTCACAACATTATTTTAACTCAACAAACCCATTCAAGTTCTTTGTGATTTCAAACTCTCACTGTTTTCGGTATGAGAACTGTCCTTAGTGTCCTCATTTAAATGCAATTTGACTAAGAGGATCTTCAACATGACACTGACATGAACATCTCAGACATATTGCATTGGTCCGGAGGAGGTGGATCTGACCTGAGAGAACTTGGCCGGATAGTGGCGGTCCTGCTTGGGGGGACAGTTCCAGCACAGCAGCCCCCCACCCATCAGCAGCAGTGCTGCAGCACCCCAGCCCATATACAGAGACGCCCCCAGCTCCCTCCTCTGGGCCTCGATCAGCAGGGGGTTGTAGAAATCCCTGATGATGGTGTTGGCTGACCAGGACACTGGGATGAGGCAGAGGAGGCCTGAGATGATGTAGAGGACTCCAGCCACGATACAGGCTCTAGCCTTGGACCCCTCCTCTGCTATGCAGTTGGTGCATTTCCCTCCTGCAATCGACAGGCAGATGCCGACGATACCGGTCAGGATGGAGATGATGATCATGGCTCTGGCGGCTTGGAGGTCCTGGGGTAGAGCCAGCATGGAGTCGTAGACCTTACACTGCATCTGGCCCGTGCTCTGCACCACACAGTTCATCCACATTCCTTCCCAGATGGTTTGTGCCGTGACGATGTTGGCTCCTATGAAGGCTGTGACCTTCCACATAGGCAGGGCACACACGATGATGACCATCAACCATCCGATCAACGACATGACGATGCCCATGATCTGGATCCCCTGGGAAACCATCTTGACTGAATAGTTCCTCACACACACACTGTCTGCTGATTTTTCCTGACCTCACACACACCAACCTGAGTCTCACACACGCCAACTTGAGTATCACACACTCCAAGCTGAGTACGGACAGATACCAAGGAGTCCCGCTATTCCCAAAGAGTTACAAGATGGTTCACACATAAGGGGCCAGTATTTATAGAGTGGTGTTGTAGAAGCTGGGGTTTGTAATGTGTTAAAAACAGATATGATGCAGGTATATGATACTACAAGTCCCTGCTCTGCTCCCATTTGCTGAGAGATGTTTAAACACAAACAGACAGAAGCCTGGTGACCTCTAGCAGTGCTGACCTAAGAGAAAAGAGCAGCCTCAAGGTCATGTAGTCACTTGCCACAGAAACAAAACAGCTATTCCTTCTGACTCACTACTATGGGACTCATATCAAAGAATGACTTGGAAACTGACTATGGAGTTTTAAAAAGAAGGAGATGAAGAAAGAGTTGGGTTATTAGGAAATGTGTTATTTGGAGGTGTTTAAAACTATATACACTACCGGTCAAAAGTTTTAGAACACCGACTTATTCAAGGGTTTTAATTTATTTTTACTATTTTCTACATTGTAGAATAATAGTGAAGACATCAAAACTATGAAATAACACATATGGAATCATGTAGTAACCAAAAAAGTGTTAAACAAATCAAAATATATTCAACATTTGAGATTCTTCAAATAACCACCCTTTGCCTTGATGACAGCTTTGCACACGTTTGGCATTCTCTCAACCAGCTTCACCTGGAATGCTTTTCCAACAGTCTTGAAGGAGTAAATTAGCTAGAAAGATGTGTCGGCATCGAGTAATTGTCTCTGGCCCCCTCCCAGTTAGGGCGAGTGATGAGCTCTACAGCAGAGTCTCACAACTCAATCGCTGGTTGAAAACTGTTTTCTGCCCCTCCCAAAATATATAATTTTTTGATAATTGGCCCTCTTTCTGGGACTCACCCACAAACAGGACCAAGCCTGGCCTGCTGAGGAGTGATGGACTCCATCCTAGTTGGAGGGGTGCTCTCATCTTATATACCAACATAGACAGGGCTCTAACTCCTCTAGCTCCACAATGAGATAGGGTGCAGGCCACATCTCAAAATAGGGCTACTTAATGTTAGATCCCTCACTTCCAAGGCAGTTATGATCATAATCTGATCATAATCTTGATGTGATTGGCCTGACTGAAACATGGCTTAAGCCTGATTAATTTACTGTGTTAAATTAGGCCTCTCCTCCTGGTTACGCTAGTGACCATATCCCCCGCACATCCTGCAAAGGTGGAGGTGTTGCTAACATTTACGATAGCAAATGTCAATTTACCCCCCAAGAAATGACTGCGTTTTTGTCTTTTGAGCTTCTAGTCATGAAATCTATGCAGCCTACTCAATCACTTTTTATAGCTACTGTTTACAGGCCTCCTGGGCCGTATACAGAGTTCCTCACTGAGTTCCCTGAATTCCTATCAGACCTTGTAGTCATGGCAGATAATATTCAGATTTTTGGTTACTTTAATATTCACATGGAAAAGTCCACAGACCCACTCCAAAAGGCTTTCGGAGCAATCATCGACTCAGTGAGTTTTGTCCAACAACAGGTCTCCGGACCTACTCATTGCCACAGTCATACCCTGGATCTAGTTTTGTCCCATGGAATAAATATTGTGGATCTAAATGTTTTTCCTCATAACCCTGGACTATCGGACCACCATCTTATGACGTTTGCAATCGCAACAAATAATCTGCTCAGACCTCAACCAAGGACCATCAAAAGCCGTGCTATAAATTCTCTGACAACCCAAAGATTCCTAGAGGCCCTTCCAGACTCCCACCACCTACTCAAGGACGTCGGAGTACAAAAATCAGTTAACGACCTAACTGAGGATCTAAATTTGACCTTGCGTAATACCCTAGATGCAGTCGCACCCCTAAAAACAAAAAACATTTGTCACAAGAAACTACCTCCCTGGTATACAGAAAATACCCGAGCCCTGAAGCAAGACTCCAAAAAATTGGAACGGAAATGGCACTCCACCAAACTGGAAGTCTTTCTACTAGCTTGGAAAGAAAGTACAGAGCAATATCGAAAAGCCCTCACTGCTGCTCGATCACCCTATTTTTCCAACCTAATTGAGGAGAATAAGAACAATTCAAAATTAATATTTGATACTGTCGCAAAGCTAACTAAGAAGCAGCATTCCCCAAGAGAGGATGCCTTTCACTTCAGAAGTGATGAATTCATGAACTTCTTCGACGAAAAGATCATGATCATTAAAAAGCAAATTACGGACTCCTCTTTGAATCTGCGTATTTCTCCAAAGCTCAGCTGTCCTGAGTCTGCACAAAACTGCCAGGAACTAGGATCAATGGAGACACTCAAGTTTTTTCATCCTATATCTCGGTGTTACTGGCCTTAATGGCCATGTACTGTTATAATCTCCACCGGCACAGCCAGAAGGGGACTGGCCACTCTCTAGGTTTCTTCCCAGGTTTCTACCTTTCTAGGGAGTTTTTCCTAGCCACCGTGCTTCTACATCTGCATTGCTTGCTGTTTGGGGTTTTAGGCTGGGTTTCTGTATAACACTTTGTGACATCTGCTGATGTAAAAAGGGCTTTATAAATAAAATGTGATTGATTGATTGATTGAGTTCCCACATATGCTGAGCACTTGATGGCTGACTTTCCTTCACTCTGCGGTCCGACTCATCCCAAACCATCTCAGTTTGGTTGAGGTCGGGGGATTGTGGAAGCCAGGTCATCTGATGCAGCACTCCATCACTCTCCTTCTTGGTCAAATAGCCCTTACACAGCCTGGAGGTGTGTTGGGTCATTGTCCTGTTGAAAACAAATAGTCCCACTAAGCCCAAATCAGATGTGATGGCGTATCACTGCAGAATGCTGTGGTAGCCATGCTGGTTAAGTGTGCCTTGAATTCTAAATAAATCACAGACAGTGTCACCAGCAAAGCACCCCCACACCATAACACCTCCTCCGCCATGTTTTACGGTGGGAAATACACATGCGGAGATTATCCGTTCACCCACACCGCGTCTTACAAAGACACGGCGGCTGGAACCAAAAATCTCCAATTTGGACAATTCAGACCAAAGGACACATTTCCACCGGTCTAATGTCCATTGCTCGTGTTTCTTGGCCCAAGCAAGTCTATTCTTCTTATTGGTGTCCTTTAGTAGTGATTTATTTGCAGCAATTCGACCATGAAGGCCTGATTCACACAGTCTCCTCTGAACAGTTAATGTTGAGATGTATCTGTTACTTGAACTCTGTGAAGCATTTATTTGGGCTGCAATTTCTGAGGCTGGTAACTTTACTTGAACTTATCCTCTGCAGCAGAGGTAACTCTGGGTCTTCCATTCCTGTGGCGGTCCTCATGAGAGCCAGTTTCATCATAGCGCTTGATGTTTTTGGCGACTGCACTTGAAGAAACGTTCAAAGTTCTTGAAATGTTCCGGATTGACTGACCTTCATGTCTTAAAGTAATGATGGACTGTCATTTCTTTTTGCTTATTTGAGCTGTTCTTGCCATAATATGGACTTGGTCTTTTACCAAATAGGGCTATCTTCTGTATACCCCCCCCCCCCCCCCCCCCCCCTACCTTGTCACAACACAACTGATTGGCTCAAACGCATTAAGAAGGAAAGAAATTCCACAAATTAACTTTTTACAAGGCACACCTGTTAATTGAAATGCATTCCAGGTGACTACCTCATGAAGATGGTTGAGAGAATCAAGAGTGTGCAAAGCTGTCATCAAGGCAAAGGGTGGCTATTTGAAGAATCTGAAATATAAAACATATTTTGATTTGTTCAACACTTTTTTGGTTACTACATGATTCCATATGTGTTATTTCATAGTTTTGATGTCTTCACTATTATTCTACAGTGTAGAAAATAGTAAAAATAAAGAAAAACCCTTGAATGAGTAGGTGTTCTAAAACTTTTGACCAGTAGTGTATATTTTTTAATGACTGCACACTGATACCTGATTGACACTTTATTCAGGACAAAATGTTTTCACTGAGACTACCAACATACCAGATGAAGTGGGGTGTAACAGAATGTTGATTTTTGACTTCTTATGAGGATGTTCTATGTTTTCATTCCTGTAGGGGGCACCATTGGACAATAAAGGATGCTCAAGAGGTGAGTGTCATCTTACTCGAAATTCGAGTGTAAACTAAAGTAATAGTCACATTCCAGTGGAAAAGCTGTTTCTCAACCTCTGGTCTTCTCAAGCCATCAATCAGTTGTCTTTTATCTCTCATGTTAAATTTACCTAGGCTACTGTAGCAAACAACATTTAGGCCTACATTTCAGCATGGCTAACCTGGTATAAACAGTATCTAACAGGGAATTGGGATGTTATTTTAGGGTGAAACTGTCTACTAAACAGTAATCTAATATATCTAGTCTGTGATTTCTCAACAAAATAGTCTGTTTGACGGTTGGTGTGAGGTGTGGCTGAGGGATAAAGATAATTTATTCTGATATTATTATCAAAGGTTGTTGCTCATGTACAGTCAAAGAAAACATGAGACAGTGCATATTTTTTTACACTTTTATCACCATTGAAATTCATATTTTCAGAACCACACGTACACAAATATATTTTGTTGAAATGATGAATGAAATATACACTTTCAATGCAACGTTATGGGAAACCCATTCAGATCATTCTGAAATCTTTTAGATATATTTCATATACATATTTTATATGAATATACATCTGAAGGAGTATTAGCTGACATTGTCCATCCACACCCTTTTCTGGGTGTGTTACTTGCCATCATGTAATTTCTTACTTATACAAGTGCCACTGTCTGGAATTACTGTCTGTCTTTAACTAAAGTCAAATACATTGGCATTTTGTCATTTAGCAGTCGAACCAAGCTGTGATACCATACAAACAACATCACACAATCACACAAAATCACAATGTATAACAGTAAGGATCACACTGCACAGCACTTGTATAAATATACATAGTCTCTCTTTCTTTTATAGTTTCTATTGCTTTTCTTTCTCTTACTTCTCTCTCTGACGTTTCTCCCACTCCTCAAACATAGTCCTTGGGTGCTGAGGACCTGGCAGCTGAGGTTTTTTTCATACATTTTTTAGGGGGTAGATCAGCTTTAATATTGCAGATAGATTGTGGCTTCTATCAATGTAATTGTCTGCATCATTTCCAATCCCCCATATATATATTTTTCTAAATATATTATTTTCCCCAAACCCTACCACCCCTTCCCTAATTGGAGTAAACTAATAGACAACTGAGTACTTAGTGGGGTAATTGTCCTCTTTACAGGGACAGTTGGCACAGAGGAAACCCTCCTCCCGTGATCATGAGGTCCGCGGCCCACCAGCCAATGTAATGTGCGGTCCCCAGCTCCATCTTCTGAGAGCTGGTCAGCAAGGGGTTGTAGTCCCTGATGATGGTGTAGGCCGACCAGCAAACGGGGATGAGGCACAGGACGCCAGCAATGATGAAGACTACACCGAAGCCAATGCCTATTCTGGATTTGGCCCTCTCATCCTCCATGCAGTTGGTGCACTTGCCCCCGGCCACGGCGAGCAAGATGCCCAGCAGGCCCATCATGACAGAGATGATGATGGGAGCACGAGCGGCCTGAATGTTATGGGGTAGAGCCAGTATGGAGTCGAAGACCTTACACTGCATCTGACCTGTACTCTGGACCACACAGGTCATCCAGATGCCTTGCCAAATGGTTTGGGCTGTGATGACGTTCTCGCCGATGAAGGCTGTAACCTTCCATTGAGGCAGGGCACAGACCATGATTGCCCGATCCAGCCAATGATGCCCAGGGCTGCGCCCAGCATCTGAAACGCAGCATATACCATATTTTCTTCTTCTTTAAGTCCTGGAGGAGTCGATGAAGGAAATCCGCCGAAAATGAGTATTTTCTTAGAAATCAGTTGCTTGGTATGTCTTGTGCCGTCATGCTGTTTTTTGTCTTCTCTATTAAATGGTACAGGTGGAACATAAACTCAGTACAATTAGACCATTAGATTGAGATAGTTCCCAACCCCTTTCCTCTTAGTATGAACAGAGCCCTTTCATTTCTCAAATCAAAGGGATGTCTCTATATAGAGTTTTGGATGAGAGAGTTTTAACAAAATGTTATTCTACTTCGGCTACCTATTACCTGACATTCACTCTTCACCTTTGACCCCATGGCTGACCTTTGCAGCTCTAAGACTCCCAGCAGATCATGTTGACTTGAACAATGCCAGAATACACACACACCTTTATAACTCTAATGGTAGAGTTTAATCAGGATATCCACCTTTTTAATTATGTCAAATAGCAATATATCATCCTCCAGATCCCCTTGAATACATAGGCCTACAGTAACTTATTGTTTTCCTGCTTGAGTTTACAGTCCCTTGCATAGAATGTGTTACAAGACTGCAACAAGAGTTAATATGTAAGGTGCTCTTTGGTTTCCCAGGCTTGTGACATTGTCAAAAGAATGTAGACATGTTCCCTTTCTATGAGATAATCTCCTTTCCCTTACAGAAACAGTACAAATATTTTAACTAAAGTTACATTTAATCAGGGGTGTGTAGTGCTGCAGGAGAGCAAGGGAGCAGCGCTCCCTCACCTTTTTCAATTTCAGAATACATGGAGCTGGTCAAAATATTATTTCTGAAGCTGAATCAGTTACTGCAAGATCACATAATGATTAATGAGTATTTTACATAACAGAACCGAATATAATAGCATAGTAGGCCTATAATGTTACTGTTTGGTTTTCACCAAAAACACCTTCCTCATTTGTAGCGAGATTTTAGGATGGTTAGCTGAAGCTGAATAGTCGCGTTTATTATTTTCTCAGTGAATTATCATTCACTATTGTGATGACAGTGATGATGGCCTATTTTGAAATGAGGTATGCCTAACTTGGTGTTTGAGGGTATTCAAAATGGAAAATTTTCTTGAGACAATATGTGCGTTGGCATAGGCAGACGTTGCATTTGGAGGATGCATTTTATGCATATTCTATAATAATATTCAATAGGCTACATCTGTCGGTACACACTTTGATTGAGAAATTATGACGTAATTTTAAAAAATTGGGGGCGCTTCCGTACAAAAAGAAATTGTACTACACCACTGCATTTCATTAAAACATTAAAATTGGACATAAATATTCAATCTGATAAAGACTACCGTATTGAGTCAGTGAATGATTGTCCTGTTACTCTACTCATTCTCAAGAGAGAAAAAGTTAACTCCCCTCCAGCGTTGTCTGTTAAAGTATCAATCAACCAACCAATCAATCAGTCAAATCTTTCTTTATGTCACCTGAGCAGTTGATAGATTCAAAGCAGACAAGTCATTCAGTTCATCCACCATTTTGTAAAGAGGCAAGAGAAAAAAAAGAATACTTGAAAGCTGACCTTGTAAGGTGATGTCAGTCCTTGGGGGTTGGAGGGCTATAGCCTGTCTTTCTTCCGTTCGCCTGGAGGACGTGTCTGCTTTGATGGACAAGGGGTCTGGCTGGTTAGTTATGTGGACGGGTCTGTCTTCAACTAGCCACAAACAACACCAAGGTGATCGCAGTTGTCGGACTGTAAAGAGAAAAGGGGGGGGGGGGGGGAGCGATACAGATTGTTTCCATATATGAAAGAGGCCACTGTTAGAGAGCTAAAATTACCTCTAGGAACAATGCCTCTATTTTACCCTGGCATGGAGCAACCCAAGGAGATTGAGTTCCACACTCTGGTACTACACATTGAAGAGGAGAGATTGTTTTGGAGCGTATCACCTTCTAACTGAGATTATACTCCCAGCTCTGGGGATCAGATAGTCCACAGAGGGTCCACTGTTTTAGGATCAGGCGTCCTACACCAGATCACGTAGTAAACATGTAATCAAACACTCAAACACCAGCAGTGCTGCTACCCTGGAAATACCAAACAACATAGACACCTAGAAAGCATAACTTTCTTGCAACATATCTGTTTTTCTTATTTTGGAAAAAATAAGCGACTATTTCAGACCTGGGATACCAGGTGAATACATTACAAGTGTCAGCAGGTAGAGAGGGCAGGCCTGGGCCTCACACCTGGGCCTCACACACTCTAACGGATGCTGGCTTTGGATTATAAAAGTACAACCGAGTTCTGCTAAACTGGTTGGGTCACTATGGCTGATCTTTTTTCCACTAATTGGTCTTTTGACCAATCACATCAGATCTTTTCACATCAGATCTTTTTCAGAGCTGATCTGATTGATCAAAAGACCAATTATTGGAAAAAATATCAGAATTCGGCAGCCTGTATAAACGAACCCTATGTGTAGTGCCCATAGAACTATAACTCCTGGGGTTGGAGAGTCAAACTGCGTTACTGTACCTTTTTGAATTAGTGATTCAGAGATCAAAGCTTTTAAAAATATAATACTAGGTGGTATGACACAACCACACATGTTATCATTCTTATAAGTGTGAATTAGCTTATATAGAGGCTGAAAAGTAGTATTTTCAGACATTGTAATTGTTGTGGGTGTGAACTAAAGGCTAGAAGGCATGTTGCACTCCCGTGATACTACTATGGGAGAATTTGTATTTGGTTTCAGTATAATGGTTAATGAAACTGGGATGTGTGGTTTTTTCCTACAAATAGGGATATCTATGTGTGTATCTGTGTAGGTGGTTGGGCAGGAGTCAGGGGGAGGTTGTTGTGTGTGATCTGTGATGTAATTATTCCGTGCCCAGGTGTCATGATGAAGAGGACGAAGTCACAGTTTCAGTGGGTTATCCAAGCATGCGACAAAGATCTCACGTTACCTAGCAACCATTAGAAGCACGGGACATTCAATGACTCATGTGGTTCTGGATTGACAGAGCATCACATGCATCATGACATGTAAACTAAATCAATGGGGTCATCAGGTGTAATAAGAGTTATTATAATACTGTCGTGATGTGACTTTAACATTAATCTGAAGACTGTTATTATCTAATTAACTAGCTATGTTTAATTGTTACCCAATTAAATTAATATTGTAACAATGAATTCATTAGGATCAGGGGCACCACGAAAGCGGTTCTTTAAAGAGTTACCATCTCCTGAATTAAACTCTAAAAGATCTTTACCTATCACGTCTATAAACAGTCAACTTATTAATCATAACCTCGTATCATATCATCATTCTGAACGTCATAACCTCCATGCATCTGCAAAAACCTGAGCCTTACTTATGATTCAGTACTACCCAAATTGGTTTAATTATTTATTTACTAGCTAATTATATGGGAACACAGGATAAACATACACACTCTACACCGGTTATTGACTGGTGAAAACAGGTCCCTAGCGGAATGACAACAACATGGCTTGTTAAAGAAGAAAGGAAGAGGGAGAGAGACAGAGACACTTAACCTTGATACATTCAGAAACTACTCTAACCTACAGTAATTACATACTTTGCACACGAACCTCCGCCCGCTTTGAGTAAGAAATCATGAATGTATTTACGTGAAATGTCTTAGTTCGATGGGGATCTCTCGGTGAACTGGGCCGCCTTGGAAAGGGGTTGGGCCTTTTCACGGCACGCTTGTAAGGCTCTTCTTGTCCAAAATGGTTCACAATGTCCTTCTTCGTAGTTGTCCGGCCTCCAATGACTTGTCATGTAGTCCTGAATAGAACTACAGAATTGATTTTCCTTCCCGTCACTCTGGAAGTTGCTTCTTTGAAGATAGGCTAGCCAGCCATATCAATGGTTCCCCAGTGGGGTGATGAGAGTAGCGTAATACGATGGTTTGAGCAGAGTAGCAGATGGTCCTACTTAAATTCACTTTCGAAGAGACCTTACTTAGGACAGCTAATCAGCCGTACCAGTGATTGTCCGGGAGGTGAGTTTTCCTTCTCCACTTTGTGTAGCAATTCAGAGTTCCAACCATTTTAAACGTGTAGCTGCCGCTTTCACGTTTTCTGGTCTGTGTTAATTCGTAACCCATCCTTTTATACACTCTGCTCGAAAGGGGGCGGTTCCATCAGGCTGACACGTTCTACGTTAGGAATATTATTCCAGTATTCGCACAACCACAAGGATGGCCATGGGATATCCTGGTTGCGGATCGTCGTTCCGGACCCGTCATCCAGGCTGGTGGATCTAGGCAGTAACTTAGGCAGACGTTAACAATGCACAACACTCATGCAATACATAATTAAATGTCTTCCCCAAATGAGCACTAATTGGTGGTTCTATGGGGAACTTGTTTGTGGCAGTATCACTTCCTAAGTGTCAAAGAAAATGAAATACACATTTTAAAGAATAAAAACACAAACAAAAAGATATACAAAATATAGTTACCACACCTTAATTATCTAATTGGACTCTATTCTATATACGTCCACAGTCTTGGCTAAATGACTCCATCATGACATTTTGTCTAATGTCATATCTAAGGCGATCCTACTTAGGGGTGTGTTGCTTAGGGCACTATCCTAAGTTGATAACTACATGATAAAGCTATAGCTGTAAGGCACCAGCTTTGGACAGTCTACAGGGATGACCTATGGACCTCTGGGGAGAAACTGGTGACTAATGTAGCTGTAGAGTCAAAGGGGCATCAGGGTCTATTTACAACTTTACCAAGACTGGTATTTTGTTCGGACCCTTAAGTGATCCTAGTATAAATCCTCATTAAATGTTCTGTTGTGCATGCTTGCACAAGCGCACATGCCAAGGGCAAGAAAACCAAGTATCCTGGTGGTCTGCAACCTGGGCAGAGTGAGTCTGACGTTGTCAGATAATTTCCATGTCAATGACCATGTGTCATTAAGAATCGGTGCTGACCTCAAGCCATATGTCAAGGGGACCTGTAGTGGTTTTATTACAAGTCAATGTGTCTTACACCATTATAGTGGCGATAGGTATGAAGGAGTCTATTTCATAGCTATGTTATCCACGGAGGAGCTAACCTCACGACGGAAGTACTCTATAAGCACTGAACCAGTCGTACGCGGTGTGATCATGGTTCATGACTTGTAATAACTTTCCTCCTGAATGGAGGGTTCTATTTATTAGCGGCATGTGTGTTAACCATCAAAATAGTGTTTTGGAGATTCCCTTCCAAGTGTTGCTATCTGAGTGACTACTACCTCCTCTGTCGCTGTTATCAAGGGCAATTCGACTTGTTAGGTCTCTAACCTTCTTACTGACTGTGGCTGACTGTTTCTGAAATTGGTACTGGTAACCAAGGGGACCAGCTACTCTACCAATTGATTACGTAATGTTATACTACCGGAACACATGATTAGAGTATTTTACTAATTACATTGTAGTTGAGACAACGAATGGCAAGGAATCATTATTGTTACCATTTATTTTTTGGGAGATGTAATGTCCACTGGACTTCTTTTACGACCAGTGTGCGTCACCTCAGTGATATCTCAAGATGTATTCTTAGGTTATCCCCGTCAAGGGGCTTGTCCGCCCCATCTGTTCTCGTGGGGAAGTGTACTACTTGATTTATTTCCTGAACGGCGGCCTCGTACAGTGTTGCACGTAGCCTCGACCACCCCAATGGCCTCGACGAGGCTCATCATGGGTCTGGGATAGTATTCCCCCCCTTTGTGTCTTGGGGCCCCCCCACCAGCGGTTGGTGTTGGTGTCCGAGGCACAAACGAAAAGATTGTGCCCTTTGTACGAGTTGTCAGCATCCGCATTGTTAGTAGATTGGCTGTAACCTTTCAACCAAATGTCCTGGTGTTTGTGCTTCAAAAAGCTTAGTGGCTTTCGTGGCCTGCCATTCACCACTGCGTCTGCGTGTGGCAACCGTTCCCGTACCTGCGAACTGAGACGAGGATATCTTTCACCGATATCGCACAGTGTTTCACCTGTTGGAGTCAACGGGTCAGTGGCAGGACTGACGCCATTAGTTACATTGTAAGGGGTTTCAGTCCCCCTCAAAGTGGAAAATGTATCATCGGAAACAGAGTCCACTCTGAACGTTGATGCTTTGTTTCCTGAGACGGCCGCGGTGTTTGCGGAAGTGTCTGAAGGACAAGAGAAATTCATCTTAGCTACAGTATCACATGACTGCAAGGAGGAGGGAAGTTGCTCACTCACAGAGACTGCTTGCTCGAAATCATGAAAAGAATGGTCGATCAGGTTTGCAGATTTTCCAGACCATGTTGCCAGTGTGACATCCTCAACCCTTGTGCCATTGAGGAACACGCCGCCTATCAGTGTAGTGCGGTATGTATTGGAGTCTATTGTCAAAGCCTGTGGGCTTGTTTCTGGATCGAGCTGGCACTGGATTGGGTTCCGAGTAAGAGCAGGGGTAATTTGATTGTTTACGTCCTCGCTAATGATGCTAATTTCGGTGGACCCATTCTCCGGCAATTCCACGTCTAGTCGTAGTGACTTATCTTTTTCCTCTTTGTCAAATTTCTTAGCAGAACTTCTAGAGAGAATTGGTTTATATTTTTAGCCTCATTGAACCCTTTGTTACCCTTGTTACCATTGTGTGGGTTGGGTGCAGGAACGTAGCGGCCAGGTCAATCGTTGCGGTACCTTTTTTACCGTGGTGGTTATTGGGGTCGTGGTTTCGTGGTAGACACCGTTTTTGTGCTTCATCTCCTACCGCTCCTATCCCTGATGCCGCACCCTCTAACTGGAGAGAGTGCTCCAGCTCAATATTGAAAACAGAGATGTAAGGGCTCTTAGCGCGGCTCACTTTTGATGCCTCAAAAGCTGTGCTCGCAAGCTCTCTGAGTTCTGAGATTGGCAAACCAACGTTGGCTGTAGGGCCCAAGTAGTTAATGAAGTTGGGATACATGTTCAACAGAAACCTTTGTTTGAATGATAATAGCTCTTTCATTCCTGTTTCAGTGAGTAGGCCAAAGTAAGCAGAACAAAGCCTATGATAGTATGCTTGTGGGTGTTCATTCTGAGCTTGTTTGACAGTGTTAGCCAGCGAGCTGTTGTGTTTGCGAGTCGCAAAACCAATGAATTCTATTTTCAAAGCCGTGGCAAGTTTAGCGTAGTCGTTTTGCACGTGTTGCTGTTGTAGACGGATGAACCTTGTCACATGTCTATTCAATGTTTGCTTCAACAGGTAAAGCCTGTCAGTATCCGTAGCATTCGGGTAGCCATCCAAGGCGTCCTTTATGACTGCTAAGAACGTTTCAGTGTCGTTTTGCTTCCCTAGAAGGTGCAGAAGTTTTGGACGATTTTGTCAAGACGTTCCACGCCAAGTGCACGGGGAGGGTTTACTTAATCCTGTGGGGAATTATGGGCCAAAAGGCCAAGAGGAGAAGCCAAGCTTTGGCTTTGTTGGCGAGGAGGTGCCGTATTACTCTGTGCCGAATGGCCAAGAGGAAAAGACTGAGGGACCCCTGAGAGAGGTAAAGTCTGAAACCTTCTGTCGTCTCCACTCCTTTGTGTACTGAGCTCTGGTTGCGAGCTTGGTTGCTTGGTTGGGTAGTCACGCTGATTTTCCTTCCCGTCACTCTGGAAGTTGCTTCTTTGAAAATAGGCTAGCCAGCCGTATAGATGGTTCCCCAGTTGGGTGATGAGAGTAGCGTAATACGATGGTTTGAGCATAGTAGCAGATGGTCCTACTTAAATTCAGTTTCGAAGATACCTTACTTAGGACAGCTAATCAGCCATACCAGTGATTGTCCGGGAGGTGAGTTTTCCTTCTCCACCTCATGTTGCAATTCAGAGTTCCAACCATTTTAAACGTGTAGCTGCCGCTTTCACATTTTCTGGTCTGATATGTTAATTCGTAACCCATCCTTTTATACACTCTGCTCGAAAGGGGGCAGTTCCATCAGGCTGACACGCTCTCTGGCCTCACTTTGGCGGTGACTAGTAACTGTGCCAAGTTATGAAAAACAATTATCTCATATAAGTTCTCAAATCACATCCCTCTCTTAATAAAAACACTTTAATCATTTTTCATATTATATGCCCAAGATATAGATTGGACGCTTCGTACATGTAGTGGGTATACTTTCTAAGTTACAGAATGACCTTAGTGCCCAACAGATCACCTCTGACCATTCCCCACGTTTTACATTAGGAATATTATTCCAGTATTCGCTTTTGAACATGTTACAGTTTCAGCGGGAAAAAGTCTGTTGAACAAAGACATTCCTTTGGGGGATCTTGAAAGGGAGAGCCTGGCCTTCTTTGTTGATTTACAACAGGGTGTGAGCTGTTAACCCCCCTCTACGGGTGAGAGGGAGTCTGATTGAAGTTACTCATTGCAAACCTGATCTCACCTATTTGGATTCTCGTGGACAGTCATGACAATACTTTATTTCTTATCATGAGAATCTTTATCATTTTCAGAAGATTTAGGTGACTATCCTCAAGACACAGTCGACTCACAAGTTCCTTTAAACTCACATGTTGAATGTATCCCACTGTAATTTCATATTTTTTAATGAAGGGATGAATTTAGAGGCACTTATCACTTTATTTTTATTTCTTATTGTCCGATCATATTTTCTCAGGGGATAATGCTGAGAGATGTGCCATAGTGTGTTGTGGCATCAACAGTTACAGTCTGGATTGCACAATAGGTAGAAAGTGACAGGAAGTGACGGGGAGAGAGAGCGATTCTGCCTCCAGGGATTTTCTGTTATATATTTGCTGGAACCTAACCTTAACTGTGAATGTACTGCAGTAAAGGAATGTCAGAGGAAAACGTTTCTCCAAAAGTTCTCTCTCTGTTTACTTTTGGTTACTGATAGTTTTTCCTCTATATTGTTTCATTATTTCAGATACTAGAAGAAAAATTGTCATCAAAAAAGGTTTAAAATTGAAGAATTTAGAGAAGGTAGAGAAAGTATCAACAAGGTATTCTCTTTCTTTCTTTCTTTCTTTCTTTCTTTCTTTCTTTCTTTCTTTCTTTCTTTCTTTCTTTCTTTCTTTCTTTCTTTCTTTCTTTCTTTCTTTCTTTCTTTCTTTCTTTCTCTCTCTCTCTCTGTCTCTCTCTGTCTATCTTTCCCTCCATACACTCTTAGAAAAAAAGGTGCTATCTAGGACCTGAAACATTTTTTCGGCTGTCCCCATAGGAAAACCCTTTGAAGAACCCTTTTTGGTTCCAGGTAGAACCATTTTTGTTCTAGCTAGAACCTTTTTGGGTTCCATATAAAACCCTTTCCACAGAGGGTTCTACATGGAACCCAAAATAGTTCTACCTGGAACCAAAAAGGGTTCTCCTATGGGGACAGCCGAAGAACCCTTTTGGAACCCTTTTTTTCTAAGAGTGTACCTTCCCCTATCCCTCCCTCCCCCTCTGAGTTACCTGTTCCCAGAAGGCGAATCTCTACTTGTTAGTTATTAATGGAAGGCAGGCAGCTGCCTGGTGTGTATAGTGTAGTGTATATATACATGTGCAGGAGGTAGTGACGAGCTAGCCAGGAACCTGTAACCCTGGAAACTGGTCTAACCTGCTCCCGTTCCCACGGCAGGTTCCATTTCCAGGGAGAACTCTTACCAAATACCTGCTTCAAACCTGATGACTCCCTAAGTTATACCAATAGTAAACATTTAATTTCCACAGAAATAAATGTGTTGGTCAGTCGCACCTAAATGGTCCGAAAATAACTTGCATCCTAGAGTACAGTCCTTCAGAGTCAACAGTTACCCTTCTTCACCACATGGTGTCTCCTGGAGTTGCAGTCTGTTAGACTCAAACTCAGAATGATGTACTAAGCTACCAATCAGCTCCTCTGTTGTGATTCAAACCTTATCCTGGAGGTATTCTGTCTGTGGGTAGCCTTCTCTAGGTGTCCCTGGACAAGTGTGTTTGTATAGTAAAATGAGTCTAGGATTATAGCCACTCCCTAGAACTATCATAGACTGGTACAAGGCTGCTGCCAACTGTTAGGCAAATGAGTCTTTCGCAACAACGAAACCATGCCTGTCTAATTCACAAAGCTGCTCGCACATAACAGGAGCCAACATATGCAACAGAATTATGTTGAACTTAATCGTAGCTTCAGTTTTCATGATAAGGCTTGTGTTATTGATGGTGCTTGTCCTCACACAGCTCTGAAGTCATTAATTTTGTCTAGATAAAAAAATTGACATCTTCAGTAAACATTTGGGTATTTTTACTCCTCAGTTCCCCTTCGTATTAGGAAGTAACCACTTAGATCTTTGAATGTTTAGTTGACACTTTTTAGGTATTTATGTAGTTTGCATTTAACATCACATTTAATGAGATTTATACAACTTGCTGGAGGCAAAACAGCAATAGGGTCAACCTGAGATCAGGTGTAAACCAGATCCTCTTTGGACTATTTCCCCAGACAGACAGACAGCTATTCAGTAAAACACTCACAGGATGATAATGTTCAGTACAGCTTAACCGTACCTGTACTTCACATGTCTCCCTCTGGCTGCACAAACATTATACACACCCATAAACAACTCTGGCTGCAAACTCCCTATTCTGATCTGAAAAGGGCATTCTGTATCTCACAGAAACCAGAGATTTTGTAAGGTATTTGGTAATTCAGGGACTTTCAGTGATGATTCAGTGATGATTATTTTCTAGCCTTCCAACAACCTGTAGTGGAGATCAGCCAAGTGAGATGGTATGTGTTGTTAGGTGTTGATTTCACTATCAGGTGGAGGTATGAGATAGCAGTGACCCCTGTTTTGACCTATGACCCCAGTGATGACCCCTGTTAGTGAGACAAGTGCCTATAATGGGCTATAAATCACATAGAGCTGCCCAGCCAACCCTAACAACCCTACCAGGACAGGACAGTTGTTTGTCTGATAACTGAAGTGTACAGAGCCACCCTTTATCATTTTATTTACATCCAGAGAACATCCATTACAACTTGAGTGAGCACGCTAACAAAAAAGGGAAAACAGTGATAGGGCTAGAGTTTTTCCTGTTCAGGTCATGTGTTTTTTGGTTTAAGACAAACTTTATTGAACAATACAAGCAGAGTAAGACACGTTCAGTGCCAGGCCTGTTCTGAGCAGAGCGGTTTCTCCCAAGAGGTATAATGTACGTATCTGTCTAACTGACTGAACAAAGCCTATCATTGTCTGTCATGACCTCGTATGCAGAGACAGTGATTCAGCGTTTTCGCCCGCAAGGTTATTGGAACTACCTGATTTAGCTGTGAAGCGAAAATATCAATGTTACCCTCAAATGTTTGGTGTTATTTGAACGTAAACTGACTCCACCTTACAAACTTCTTATCAGTATAAAGAAAGGTAGAATATGTTTATCCCACTCTCCTTCTCTTTCCCCCTCTCTCCCTAACTGACTAAAGTCTTATCCAGGGCATTCTGAGCCAAGGAGATCTGATATCATCTTTAGAGGGCTGTGTTCTGAGACACAGAGTGCCTTCTATCCAGACCAAAGCTGAGAGACCCAGGGATAGGGAGTGACTGCTGCAGCCCAACCCCAGCCCAGAGGACACAAGGACAGAGAGAAACAACAGCCCAGCGCCAGTGGACAAGGCGAGACTACGGCAGCCCAGCACCAAGGACAGACCACAGCCCAAGATCACATCACCAAGGACAGAGAGAGACGACAGCCACAGAACAGGACCAGAGCACCCAGGGACAGGGAGAGACTAGTTCCAGAGATGGCCTCGGCCGGCCTGGAGATCCTGGGTATGATCCTTTGTGTGTCAGGCTGGCTAGGGGTCATGGTGGCCTGTGGCCTGCCAATGTGGAGAGTAGCTGCCTACATTGGCCAGAACATTGTCATCTCTCAAGTGATCTGGGAGGGTCTGTGGATGAACTGTTCTGTCCAGAGCACGGGCCAGATGCACTGCAAGGTCCACGACTCCATGCTTGGACTCCCTGTGGACCTACAGGCGGCCCGAGCCCTGGTCATTGTCTCTATGGTGCTGTGCATCATGGGCATCGGCCTGTCTGTAGCCGGGGCCAAGTGCACCAACTGCAGCTCAGACACGGGAAGCAAGCCCCGCATGGTGCTGGGGGCCGGGGTGACCTTCATCGTGGCGGGGCTGTTGCTGCTGACGGCCGTATCGTGGACGGCTAACAGCATCGTCTTGGACTTCTACGACCCGATGCTGGAGGAGACGGGAAAGAGGGAGTTTGGGAACTCACTGTATTTTGGATGGGCTGCCTCCTGTCTGCTTCTCCTAGGGGGAGCTCTGCTCTGCTGCTCCTGCCCTCCGAAAGCACCCCAGGGTGGGAGCGGGACTGGGTCTGGACCCCACAGGGTGGTGAACTACTCTGCGGTCAAATCCCCCATGTCTGTCAATGGATATATGAGGAGGGACTATGTGTGAGAGAGAGAGTGTTCAATGGCTTTAGTATAGAGACAGCCTCTTGAGACTGATGGGACTGATGGAATAACTAATGTTAGCGAGGCCCCTTTCCTGACTGCACGCTATATGGGTAGCACAGAATAAATGCAGCCATGTGGGATATTTGATTCAGATATAAAGTATGAACGATTGCCGATTAATGCTAGATTGTGTGTTACATATATGATTTCTGTAGAGTTGGAGACATGCATTTATAGACGAGTCAAGTAAATGTAGATGGTAGGATTAGAGACATTTCTTATTAATGTTTTACCTGTTCTAAAATAGTTTTTGTACTAAATTTCACATGAAAGTTACTCAATGATGACGATTTAGATCATGAAAATGTTAATGTTGTTAAAAAAAATTAAAATAACTTTTCCATTTAACCCTAAGTAAGTTACGCCCACTACGAATCTTCTAGTACATGACTGAAAATAATGATACAAAAATGAAGATAAGTTCACTATTTCCCGTGGTAATTACAGCATTTTGCATTATCAGACAGCAGTATGATATCATCATGTGAGTACATCATGTACTGTGCTAACTAATGTTTGTATACAATAGCATACATCATACTGATAAGCAACTCCTTTTTCTTTGTTAAATTGGCATACAGCAGGGACATTCCCGTCTGAAAGTAAGGTCTTATCGTAGATGATATCACCACAGGAATGTTATGTGTGTGAGGAGGGGTAACCTTGCCTATGCTTGAGGATGAAACTGGCTTACTAAGGTCAGGCTACCAACGGAACACAGACAGGACATCCCATCGAAGACACAGGATCTAAAGAAATAGACCAAAATATAGGGCAGGAATGCCTGCAGGTCCATATCACCTGAAATCTAGACAACTCAGCCCCTCTACCGCGCACAAATACGGTTTTTGATTTCAATACAAATGTGAGCAACAACAATGTCTTTTTTTATTCTGAAGGTTGCCTTCTGCTACCTTTCATTGTGCCCCCTGTTCCATTTGGGAGAGTGAAACTGAGCCCGAAAAAATGCAGCCATTTTGATAGGGAGGGGAAGTAGGTAACCCACACTATAATCATAAGGTGAACTTGCTTCTTTCACAATGCTCCCATTGATGAAAAATCAGACAATGGCTTTATTTACATTCTAGTCTAAGAATAAGATAAGGAGAAAATACTTTTAAGACAGTCTTATAGCATAGACTTAAAGTACTGCCTAGGGAAGTTTGAGCATCGTACAAACAAGCATAGCCTCCAATAGCCTTATTGTGTTACTCAATCTGTTCACCTGGGGAGTATGAGTACCCATCTATAACCGTGCAGAGTCCAGTGTCTGTGTGTGGAACTTCCTGTGCTGCAGACAGTTGAGACAGTTCAAATGAGGGTGAAACCCTTTGGTGCAGAGTGACCTTGTGGACAAGGACACTGTCTGATAACACTGACCCACTCATCACATCAATTCCCCATCCACAATGACCACTATCCAACTCACTCACTGGGGATGTTTGTCCACTGGACTGATCAGACAAACCATCTATCTCTATTCCTAAATTTGACAGCCAAATAGAAACCTGTCTAAGTCTGATCTCTAAATCTGTCTGCCAAACAAAGACAAAAGATAACGGATTTTCACTTTTTGTCATAAATCTTCAATGGCAGTCAGAAACAAGATAGAATTTATTATGAAATTCAGGCTTGTCTGTTTCCTGAATCATGGCAGTGGGAAACAATGAGCAAATGCAGCTTTGCATTCATTCATTGTGCAACATCATCTCCAAAATAATGTTATCTGGTACCAGAGAGAGCAATCACTGGCTCCTGACCCAGGTCATGTCATTTTGAAAGAAACTGATCCAAGAAAGAGCCCTACTGCTGGGGTTGGAAACCAGATGAAACGATATTCAGCAGCCTTTTCTATAGGTCGATGGAAGTTCGTTGAAAATATATATTTATTATTAAAAACAACACAACTCAGCCTTCATCAGGGTATATGGGTTGGAAACTAGCCAATAGTGCTTGTATACAGTAGGATACCACAGATGTTCCTAGGCAGCTCTCTCTCAGGGTTAGCAGTAAGACACAGAGGTAAACACTCCATAGAGAGCTAAATATTTATCTTGACCTGAACATAATTGTACAATGGTAGGCATCTGTTGAACGAACACGAGTTTATGTTATTCCCAATTCCTCCACTTGTAATTATTACCTCGTCCATTCTTAACCTGTTCGTTATCCTTTAACTATTTTGCTTTGGCCATTTTTTGACCTTCCCCCTCAGCCCAAACAGTGGGGGATCAACCATGTTCCAACCGTTCAATCATTAATCTGTGCAGCCAAGCCGTTCACCTGCCAAAGATTTTACTGGGGGTCGTTGAGAAGAAAGAAAAGAAAAAACATTTGAAAACCACCTTAGCCAATCCCCATGAGACTCTACCTTCTGTTGGTGGAGTGCTATAAAGATAGCTCTGAGTATACAGGTGGTGAGAATTCCAGAGCAGAACCCAGACAGTGAAACCCTTATGTGCGTGAGGTTGAGACAGTGAAGAGAGTGCTTACAGAGGAAGGTAAAACAACAAAATGGCTGTATTGGGACTAGAGATCCTGGGGATGATCCTGGCTGTCCTGGGTTGGATATTGAGCATCGTGTCCTGCGCCATGCCCATGTGGAGGGTGTCCGCTTTCATCGGGGTCAACATCATCACGGCTCAGACCATCTGGGAGGGCATCTGGATGAGCTGTGTGGTCCAAAGCACGGGCCAGATGCAGTGTAAGGTATATGACTCCATGCTGGCCCTCAGCTCTGACCTGCAGGCAGCCCGAGCCCTCACAGTCATCTCTATAGTTGTGGGCATCATGGGGGTGTTGGTGGCCGTGGTGGGGGCTAAGTGTACCAACTGTGTGGAGGACGAGACGGCCAAGGCCCAGGTGATGATCGCAGCGGGGGTGGCCTTCATCGTAGCATCCCTGACCCAGCTGATCCCTGTGTCCTGGTCAGCCAACAGCATCATCATGGAGTTCTATAGTCCCATCACTCCCGAGGCTCAGAAGAGGGAGATTGGAGGGGCTCTCTACCTGGGCTGGGCTGCAGCGGCTTTTCTCCTCATTGGGGGGTGCATCCTGTGCTGTAGTTGCCCCCCACAGCCTGAGAAGAGGTATGCAGGGCCGCCCTCGCGGATGGTGTACTCCCTGACCAGGTCTGTGGCCCCCAGCGGCTATGACAAAAGAGACTATGTTTGAACTGACCTGGGTATCTGGCAGCAGCTGCTTTCTGCTTTCTGCTCAGTGGATGAAGGACATTTGATACCAACCTTGAATTTCAGAATAGATCAAATGGTGGTGATTTCTACCAAAACTATTTTGTTATATGTTTTGACATTAAGAAAATACTGCTTTTTACTGGATCATTTTTGATGGTGCTCTGTTGAAGGGGAACAACACCAAACTGGACTTGATGTACTTTTATTTCATACTGTATGCCTATTTAAAACATACAAAGGTGTTGTAAATATTGTATTGTAATCTTAATATTTGAAAGGAGTTTAATTGAAACCATCTGCATTGTTACATTTTATATTCTATAGACTGAATGAATAAAAGCTTATGTTGTGCATATGTTGGATAACAATGTGCCAAACTCTGACAGTTTAACAGCTTTTGTTAAGTGTGAAAATACAAACTATTTTGATGTTTGATGTGTGTCAATTTCACAATAAAAACTGTTTCATAATACTTTCACTTCATATTTTTATACGATGACAGAAAAATAAAACTGGTTGCTATATGTTACTTTATACAGTACATTTCATTAACATTATTTAGTGCTTTGCTACATGGGAAGTGCCACTAAGTCCTGTGCTACTAGCTATACAGTTTATAAGAAAAGTATGTTTGAATCTGCTGCCAAACAAAGAGGTAGGCTAACTCTCAACTTATATCAGAGAACTGCCTCTGTGTCATTCATTCTGCCCAGATCAGGAAATAACAGGCTTTTTCCTTCACTGATCCTTGGGTATCCATGGTAATGATGTGTTGAGTTGGATTCTCTTTCATAGCTGCTAGCTAACTGGCTGACTCCCATATCTGTTGGGCTTGGATAACAAGAAGCCTTGCTTTGTCAGCCCTCCACTTTCAGCCATTCCAAAATGGCCCCCAAAACAATGGGTCCGTTTCATAGCAAGATGGCGATCGGAGTGAGTTATCAACACTGGGTCATGAAATGTTGGGGGAAAGTCTATTATCCCAGTTTCTGGGGCATAACTAGGGGAGACCCTCCCGGTTGTAAGGAATTCAAGGGCACTGGAGTCAGTGACAGACAGACATGACCGTTAGACCACATCAAATAGAATGAACAAGACAGCTTGTTGCCGAGGAACTGAGGTCAGGCATTCTTCTTTTACAAGTTGCTTCAGCTAATGCTGAGAGAGTGATTGCTCTGAGGAGACAAGATTAGGGCTAATCTATTAATGAGTAAAGGGCAATTACACCACTTTTCAACCTCATTTTCATTGTCCAGCACAAATGTAAAAACTGCACATTTCTTAGGTAAAAAAAAAATCTAAATATAAAGTTTAAAAGTTCTACCCGATAACAAAAGTTAAAAGATTTTACAAACAGGGATTTTCAAACACTATGAGATTTGCGGTGACGTGGAGAGCAAGATAATACCCTCCCTCTGACTAGTAACTCCTTGCAGGTTTTGAAAATCACTATTTAAAAAAAATGTTTAATCCTACCCTGTGATGTCACAGAGAAGCATTTATTTTGACCTTCCAGGGCTCCTCCCTTCAGCTGATCTGGGATATAAAGGATACTTGTCTTCCCGGCAGCACCAGAACATCACACATCACACACTCACAGGTGCTAGGGGCTAAATTAAGTACATTTGTGTTGGTGTCTCTGGCTGGTCTCTTTCTTTCTCACAGATCCTCTGTCAGATCCTCTCAGGTATCTCAGGTGTGACGGAACACGGAGCACTGAACGGAACACAGAAGGAGCTCCAGCAACATCAGAATTACCACCATGTCTGCAGGGTTGGAGTTAGTGGGGATTGCTCTATGTGTCTTGGGATGGATCATTGCCATCGTGTCCTGCACCCTGCCCATGTGGCGAGTAACGGCCTTCATCGGCAGCAACATCGTCACAGCTCAGATCATCTGGGAGGGCCTGTGGATGACCTGTGTGGTCCAGAGCACAGGCCAGATGCAGTGTAAGGTCTACGACTCCATGCTGGCCCTCTCCCAGGACCTCCAGGCCGCCAGGGCCCTCACGGTCATCTCCATCCTCCTGGCCATCCTGGCTGTGCTCATCGCCATCGCCGGGGCCAAGTGCACCAACTGCATCGAGGACGAGGCGTCCAAAGCTAAAGTCATGATCATCTCTGGGGTGTTCTTCATCGTGTCGGGAGTCATGCAGCTGATACCAGTGTCCTGGTCAGCCAACACTATCATCAGGGACTTCTACAACCCGCTGCTGACTGATGCTCAGCGCAGGGAGTTAGGGGCAGCGCTCTACATTGGCTGGGGGGCTTCAGCCCTCATGATCCTCGGGGGAAGCCTTCTCTGCTGCTCCTGTCCCCCTCGGGAGAAGAGGTACAACCCCTCACGGATGGCATACTCTGCCTCACGCTCTGCCCCAGGTGGGCCCGGGTTTGAGAGAAAAGACTATGTGTGATGGGATGATGGATGGGACAAGGACTATTTATGTAACAACCAAAAATGTTATTCTACACCTGTTTTTAATGGTGTGTCTAAGAAAGGGCTTCATGAATCCCAAGGAGACTGCGATAAAGAGATGTGTTTGTTTTTGCTTTTTTTTACCATTGTTTTGTTGGATTTGTCTACGTGTGTACAGTATTTGTCTCTGTAATATCTACTCTGAAGGAAAAGCATAGAAGTTCCAGGGCTGGGGCTGTAAGAAAGACATTTGAGAAGGATCATGTGCTTTCCATTTGGGTTTAGTGAGAACAAAGGAAATGAAGAATAAGATCAGTAGTCACTACATTTATTAATTTAATTACAAGGTTTTAAGGGTTGGGTTATTGGTGAGCTATGCATATCCATTGAAACTATATCAAGCTCATTTAAAAACATTCACAAGCCTCATATAATTATTGACATAATGTTTGTACTTTTATGATTATTCCCGTCTAAGATGTTAGTGATTTAAAATCTTAATGGACTCAATGACTAACATTTAATTATTTCCCTAGCTTCAGGCAACTACGCTACATCAAATGATATAGAATGTAGAATATTTAGTCATTGTCTTTTCATTGACATTTCTCATGTAAATGAGGCATTGCTTAGGTTTCAGAAACTAAGGAAGGCTGTTAAAAATATTACATTTGACTGATGCTCTCACAAAAAGACAGAGGTGGAAAGGTTTTTCTTTCACTGCAAGATACAGTAGAGTGAACAAAATCAGTATGTTCACAAATCATTTTTTAAGGAACTATGTTTCATTTTTATGTAGGATTTATTTTCATGTTGGAACATTTTAGCTTTTTGTTTTGTAAAAGACTTTGTCAAAGAGATGCATTTGTTTGATGGTGATGTTCTATAATCAGTATTAAGGGTGTGGTTGTGTGATGTAATTATCTGTTTGGACTCCAGGAAGAGTAGCGGCTGCCTTGGCAGCAGCTAATGGGGATCCTAATAAAATACAAAATACTACTAACATACAGAGTACTGTAACTGTACTGAATGCTGTCACCTGCACTCCAGACAGATGACAGATGTATTCAACACAGTGTGGATAGCGGTGCAAAGAGGGAAGGGGGAACCAGGTTGGGAGCAGACCAACTGAAGGCCTCAGTGTTTTGGGGCAATGAGGAGAAATGGGGGCATTGTGCACCTGTGTCCAGCCAGAACAGTGCTACTGTGTGTGTTAGCCCTGCAGTGTTAACTGCACATCACCTGCTTTTAAATAAATACAGTTGTTTTATAAAGGTTTGCATCTCTACTGGTTTCATTCAGAAATCAATAATCAATTATGCATATTTTCCTCTTGTTTTATTTAATTACCATCTGCACACAGAGGTTCATACACTATCAACAATATATTTGTTGTACTTCAGCAATGTTGTAATGCTTTTTTTTTCAACCCAATGAGAAGGTGACGGATGCTGGGATAAGGATTAGTACATGTGCCAGTGTAAAGGTAGCCTGAAATGCAATCCAAGAGGCCATGTTACCAGCCACCAATCAACAACTTTACCACAACAGCAATAAACAATTACCAACAAGAGATCACCTCACAGGTGCAGGTGACGCATGTTATGTCAGCAGAGAAGGACAAAGAAGACTGAAATAAATGATGAAAGGTTAGAATTATAATCAGTAGCAGCAGGCCTAGAATATATGTCATCTTCAATTAAGAACATAGATGAACCCAAGAAATACACAGGAATCACATTTCTAATTGTTTCTAAAAGGAATTTGAAGTCGGTTTTCTTCATGTTGGCTGTGACTTTAAGTCTCATGTTTAAAACACATCTTGTAGCACCTTACAAAAGCCTCTATCTGAAATATTAATTGGGATCTCATAGTAAATACGGGAGAGAAATGTCCCTGGAGTCTCACCTTATCAGCCAACTGTTGTCTCTTCCTCCACATATCAATGTCACTTCAAACAAAAGATCTATCAAATCACCATGACTGGATCCACTGATATTAACTACTGTACAGTTTCAGCTTGGCAATAGTCCATTGTTCAGATTATTTCCTCCAAAAAGGGGGATAAAATGTACATTAAAAAGCTAAGATATGCATATGAATAGAATAAGCGGCTCTATAGTTATTGAAGCATGGTGTTCATACATGGTGTTCATACATTTTTCAGTTGATTATTCAAATGACTTGCCATTTTCAACTGAGTCAAATGCAACCTTTTAAAATTGCAACATAGGGCAACAAGTATTCAACTACTGTAACACTGTATGAAATCCAATCTTGATGATTTCAAAGTAATGTCATTTCATACAGTAGAAAAACAAAACCAATGTTTTTGTAATTTGCTAATTTGCATTGTTTTTGTTGGCTGACTGATGGTCCTACTAAATGAAAGTTAAGATAATGGGATATCATTTATCTTTCTAAGAGGTTTGGAATTCTTGGAAGTGTGACGTCCAAAAGCTTTAGTTTCAACAGATGTAGAGCTGGCGAGAGACTATTATAAGACTGATCACGTTAAGTGGTACCTGCTATATATGCAGTTCAGATGGCTTTTCCTATACAAGACTGGGGCAGTATAGGGTGTTTGAAGGGTGTTAATCATTGATCCCACTTCAGGGTTATTTCAGCAGTATTACCATGGAGGGCTGGAGATCTCTATGCCTCATAAAGTATATTTGGTTTGGGGGGTTATACAGCAGTCAGTGCAAAATGTTCAATTGAAAGGACTAAGGAAAGTCATGTTTACACAGTAAACAAAGCATTCTCTCTCTGACATGAGTCATAAAATTGGAGTTCAGAGGTAGCGAGAGACATTTATTAGACTGATCACGTTTAGTGATACCTGCTGTGTTACATATGCTGTTCAGATGTCTCTCTCTCTCTCTCTCTCTCTCTCTCTCTCTCTGCTCTACTCTGCTGGCTCTGGATAGCGAAACCCTGGCTGATTACATGACCGATACTGAGCTACGTGAAGGACGGAACAGACATAGAAGTTGCTAGGCACCTGGAGTCGCAAGGGAAAAGGCCTTCCTTTATTCATCCACCATGAAAGGAACAACACAGCCCCTTTGTGTGTCCTGTCCTGTCTACTCTGTCGGAACAAAACCTTAGAAACTACATATTTAGTGCAATGAACAAAGTGTAGCTAACAAAGTGACTGATCTGTGTAAGCTACCTCCAACCATTTTTAAATATGTTGTTCTGTCTTCCTTTATCTTCTTCAATAAACTGAAATTAACAAACAGCTAACAGATAATGGTATCATGAAGCAGGTGAGAATAACATCTGTATGTAGGTCTGTCCTCACACAGCCAATCATCATAGATCTCTTTTGGGGCTGTTTACAAACTGTCTTAAAGGGCCAATCAGCAGTTGAAACAATACCAACGAGGACTCCCTGGCACCAATGTTCCCTCAAATGTTTTTCGTTACTGAGCAAATTTCAGGTCTTCTGAGCCCAAACTTGAAAGTTGTGAAAATTCAGTGCAACTTCCAGCATGCGTTTACTGTGAACACTGAGGCTGTACCCGCTTTAAGTTACAGTTTTAACAGTGGCCAAGTAGGCTACTGTGGCTATTTGATCATAATGTAGGCCTAGCAGAGTGGCCTACTATCAAAAGCAATGGAGAAAATGCATCCCATAACATTTTAACATGGAAATAGCTATTCTATCATTCACAGCCCAAGACGAATAAAACAAGGATTTATAGTTGGGTTTTTTACAGAAATGTTTGGCGATCGAATAGAAATGCTTTGGAGATCGACCAGTTGATCGCGATCGACTGGTTGGTGACCACTGCTCTAGAAAGTTGAGTGAAGTTCAATCTTGTGCTTCTCTCTGTGGGCTGATATTTCTTCTGCGCAGCAGTCCTGCTTCTATATGGAGTAAATGTGGATAACCAGCTGTATCCTGTAGGCCTATGTGATGTATGCAACATAGTATTTTATGCAGTCCATGCGAACTATCAATCAAAGGCCATAGCATATCAAGTATGAAAAATGACTTTATTTTCAGTGTAAAGGACATTCTGTGTTCACTAATACATAAACACCATCTAGATACAGAATACATAAACTACATAATCATGATACACAACATAATGTATGCACATTGATAACATTCATATATTACAACAATTAGTCATATGAATCAAAATGTTAGCATTATTTATTCTGTAATAAGAGTTGCAAGTACTAGACATTTTCAGTCATTCAATCAGCATTGTTCTGTTTTTCACTAAATCAAATAGTTTGAGGACATTCTGATTTTGTCAATAAAAACCTAAATGAAAATGAACAAGTAGCAAATGTCGATAAACAACAGGACAGAACTTACTTAACGTGTTGACAACATATTGCATGCATTCTGTCCATTAGATTGTAAAAAATAAAATCAAAGATTGTTCTGGTACTGTAAACAAAATAAGTATGACCTTATATGACCATCCTAGTTAGAGTTGATCTATATTGCACCCTTCCCCCAAAATGTCCCCTTCAGTTGTGTGGCAAAAACTAAGGCCCATAAGGTAAGAATACAATGCATGAAATGCATTTTGGACCTAAATCATATTGTATCTAGTTCACATAACATTTCACACGAGAACCCATGACATACTGTATATCAAGGGATTATTTATTAGCACCTAGTGTATATTTGGTTATTATCTACTAAGGACTGTTTTCTCTGAATACATAATGGAAACCATTTTGCATAGACAGCAGGCAACATTGAATATTATTACATCTTTTGAACAGATTGTAGTGATTGGAATACCACTTAGATCTGATATCATCTAACTGTGTTTCTAAATAGCTAACCATTTACAACATGATTATAGGTGAATAATAACTTCATTATGTGTTATTATCGGAGTCCAGTCAATCTATCAACTTCATTTCCCTCCAGTCTGTCTGTACATTGCCTAAATAAAGGTTGGATGAAATAAATAGTCTGAGCAAATACTATCAGTATTCTTACAAACATTGACATTCACACATACATTTATAATCTCAGGCATCAACGACCTCACAATTAAAACCATCATTATAAGGCAGAAGAAGACAACTTCTAACCATCTTTCCTTGTCGTGGCTCTCACCATGCTAGTGTGTGACTCCCTGGCCATGCTAGTAGTTACCATGCTAGAGTCTTTAACCGCTCTAACATGCTTTTTATGTTCTTAGGTTATTCTCAGTGACAGTGGGGAAACTACTGTCTACTTATTGATAACTCTTTGTCCATTAGGGCTCTTATCTGGTCCTTGTTCCAACACACCATGGTCTTGAATCCTAATACTCTACTGAAGTCTACTATATAACTGAGTGTTCAGCCTGTCCTGTTCTGCTTGATACTCTATCTACCAAGACTGATAGTTCCACTCAGTAGTGTTCCACCAGCTTGTTCCTGTCTTGACGACTCGACTCGTCTTCTTCAATGGCCAGCTGGTCAAGACAGTTCTGTGCTATGTGCCAGTCCTTCACGGTGAAGCAACAGACATACCAGCTTACTATTTGCCAGGCTGTGCCACCTTGCCCGGTCGGAGCCAGTCTCTCCAGGGGGACTGGGGCTTCTCTTGCCCAGCCTCAGAGGTCCAGGAGGCGGGGGAGGAGGAGGGCCGGCGGGGCTTGGTGGAGGAAGCGGTGCTGGGTCTCCTCCAGAAGGACATGGGGTTGGAGGCAGGCTTCATCTGGACCTGCTCCGACTGCTGCTGGGTCCTCAGCTGCTGGTTGATGATGATCTGAATGTCATCCTGAAGAAAATAAATAAAAACATTACAGCCTCATTAGACTTTACATACATACATTTTAAATGCAAGAGCTGGATATAAAAATAGCTTAAATATGCTTCCAATAGCATGAGGTTGAAATTGTAGGAAAGTTTCAATCATCGCTATTGAACTGGTCAGTTACAGTGAATATGTTGCCATGTCTTCATATGACCACAAGAGGGAGGTAGTCACCAAGCAGATGGCCTGACACTAGCACCATGACTCAGCAGTAGACTAGAGTAGCAGAGAGATTCTTCTAGCCTTTGCCACCTGTCATTCAGTTCAGATCCCTTCAGTCCAAACTTAGAGGGCTGTTTAAAGGTTGCCGTGTCCCTAACCCCAGTGGGGACACTACAGCTAAAGAGCAGTCTCTATGTAATACTAGAATTCTGACTCTGTGGCCAAGGATTACATTACATTTTGACTATTGGAGGTGCCCTGAAGATAATAGGCTTAATTAAACCAATGTTAATATTTTCACAGAGCTTATGAAAGTGCCCTAATATGTTACTGGAATGCGAGAGAGGGGCAGAGGAAGGGAGAGAAATAGAGATAGATAAAGAGAGCAAAAGACAGACAGAGAGAGAGAGAAGTGTGGTGACAGAAACAGAGAGACAGAGAGACCCACCTGCCAGGCCTCTAGTTCCTGAGACAGCTCCAGCTTGCGTTGGATAGCCTCCAGCAGCTGGTTGTTCAGACACATCATGTCGTTCTTACTCCTCACCAGCTCCGCCTCCATCAGGTTCTTCCTGCCATGATGAAACGGGGACAAACACATGTTAAGTCACAGTGACATCATCATAGATTCATAGCAAACAAATGTGGAAAGCCCATGGCAATCTTCCACTGAAAACACAGCACAGGGACATATGTTACACTTACAGTACACATAAAATGGCATGAACTACACTACCGGTCAAAAGTTTTAGAACACCTACTCATTGAAGAATCTCAAATATAAAATATATTTTGATTTGTTTAACACTTTTTTGGTTACTACATGATTCCATATGTGTTATTTCATAGTTTTGATGTCTTCACTATTATTGTACAATGTAAAAAATAGTAAAAATAAAGAAATACCCTTGAATGAGTAGGTTTTCTAAAACTTTTGACTGGTGGTTTATGTACAAATGGAACATGTCACTTTATGAATGCTAAATGCTGTTTGAAAATAACATTGAAGGAAATTACAAAGACTGATAAAGGCAGAAAATAACTACATGATAAAGGTAAAACCACACTTACTTAGCTATGGCTTCATCTCTGTCTCTGATGGCCTGTTGGGCCACCTCTTCTTCCTTCTGTCTGTTTCCCAGCCTCAGCCTCAGCTCAGCATTCTCCTCCTGCAGCTGGGACATCTAAAAGAGGGGAGAGGACAAGAGAGAATATAGTGAACTGAAACCATGGTCTGAGTCCAATATTAGCAACCCCAATGTCTTGCGTTCAACTTCTGCTGTATCAAGAACTCATAACCAACATGACCAAAAGGTGGCACACAAACCACACACACTGAGATGTGCCAACGTAACCACGACTAAAGCAGAGTATTCAGTGTCTGTGGTGCTTAGTTATGTTCGGCATAGTTTCTAGCCTGGGATGTTCTATAGACCTGCCACTCTATGAGTGAACACACAGGACAGGTGGGTGTTGTGTTATAAAACAGTAGCTCATGGTATTCACTGGACATTCAGAGCTGTAACCTGACTATCATTGTACCGAAAAACCCCTCTCTCTCTCTCCAGCCCAGTCCCCAGCCCCTAGAGCCCCACACAAATAGGCCAGCAACACAGAAACTCCTTTATTGTGTCTAAATCTAAATCTCCATGGAACGCAGGCCTGACTGACACCTGATCTCTGTGTTAATGTCTCTGTCTCCTAGGGGATGAATCCAGCCTTTGTTGTCAGGGCCGGCAATCCATGTGGGAACCCGGGCACTGTACTGAGGACTCAGGTAACTGAACAATGAGGCCTCGTGTGCTGGGCTGAGCCGACTGTAAGAGGTGGAAGGTGATTTAGTATGATCTATGTATCAGTGATGACCTTGCTGCTGTACCTGTTGTCCATCTAATATTTAGGTCAGTTCTCCAGTAGACTATGTTAATTTTCATCTTCTGTTAGTGCTTCTCGTTTCATCCTTTGGTTATTTTCCTTTTTTGTCTGATAACATCTTTATTTCACCAGTCTCATTTCCCTTTCTCTCTCTAAGACCAGTGTAGGCACTAAAACTAGGGGAAACAACACTGCATTGTTTTGACAGGCACTTTCACGTGAAGGTGTATTTCCCAGTAGGAATAATAGACCGTGCCTGTTGTGATCTGTGAAGCATTCAACATTCCCAACCTGTCCTCTCCTAGATCACCGCCACAGGCTTCTAACAACAATGCCTCAACAGAGACCCAAACCAAAAACCACAGCACTGACATAACTCCAACGTCATCTGTCCTTATACCGGTACATGGTATTGTATGACACAAACACAATAGCACCTTACAGGTAAGGTAGACTGTGTTTTTTCTTTCTTTCCCCTCTAACAACAGAGCATACAGTACAGGTGCAGCTCAATAAATTAGAGTATTGTGGAAAAGTTAAGTAATTTCAATAATTCAATTGACAAATTGAAACTCATATATATCGTGGATTAATTACACAAAAAGTGAAATAGTTCAAGCCTGTATTTGTTTTAATCTTGATGATTATGGCTTACAGCTCATGAAAACCCCAAATTCAGTATCTCCGAAAATTAGAATATGACGTAAGACCAGTGAAAAAAGGATATTTAATACAGACATGTTGGCCTTCTGAAAAGTATGTTCTTGTACATGCTGTCAGTACTTGGTTGGGGCTCCTTTTGCATGAATCACTGCATCTATGCGGCGTGGCATGGAGTCGATCAGCCTGTGGCACTGCTGAGGTGTTATGGAAGCCCAGGTGGTTTCGATAGCGGCCTTCAGCTCGTCTGCATTGTTGGGTCTCGTGTCTCTCATCTTCCTCTTGACAATACCCCATAAATTCTCTATGGGGTTCAGATCAGGCGAGTTTGTTGGCCAATCAAGCACAGTAATCCCATGGTCATTGAACCAGGTATTGGTACCTTTGGCAGTGTGGGCAGGTGCCATGTCCTGCTGGAAAATGAAATCAGCATCTCCATAAAGCTTGTCAGCAGAAGGAAGCATGAAGTGCTCCAACATTTCCTGGTAGACGGCTGAGTTGACTTTGGACTTGATGAAAAACAGTGGACCAACACCAGAAGATGACATGGCTCCCCAAATCATCACTGACTGTGGAAACTTCACACTGGACTTCAAGCAACTTGGATTCTATGCCTCTCCACTCTTCCTCCAGACTCTGGGACCTTGATTGCCAAATGAAATGCAAAATGTACTTTCATCTGAAAAGAGGACTTTGGACCACTGAGCGACAGACCAGTTATTTTTCTCCTTAGCCCAGGTAAGACGCTTCTGACGTTGCCTCTGGTTCAGGAGTGGCTTGACACGAGGAATGCGACAGTTGTAGCCCATTTCCTGGATACGTCTGTGCGTGGTGGCTCTTGATGCACTGACTCCTGTCTCAGTCCACTCCTTGTGAAGCTCCCCCACATTTTTGAATGGCCTTTGCTTGAAAATGCTCTCAAGGCTCCGGTTATCCCTGTTGCTTGTGCACCTTTTCCTACCACACTTCTTCCTTCCACTCGACTTTCCATGAATATGCTTGGATACAGCACTCTGTGAACAGCCAGCTTCTTTAGCAATGAGGGTGTTGATGACTGTCTTCTGCACAACTGTCAAATCAGCAGTCTTCCCCATGATTGTGAAGCCTACTGAACTGGACTGAGAGACCATTTAAAGGCTCAGGAAACCTTTGCAGGTGTTTTGAGTTAGTTAGCTGATTAGAGTGTGACACCTTGAGTCTACAATATTGAACTTTTTCACAATATTCAAATTTTCTGAGATACTGAATTTGGGGTTTTCATGAGCTGTAAGCCGTAATCATCAAGATTAAAACAAATACAGGCTTGAACAATTTCACTTTTTGTGTAATTAATCCACGATATATATGAGTTTCACTTTGTCAATTGAATTATTGAAATTACTTAACTTTTCCACAATATTCTAATTTATTGAGCTGCACCTGTATATTAATTAAATGGGGGAATTGAATAAATGCTTTGCATTTAGGCCAGAAAGTGTATTCCTAGTGCCTTGTTGCATACAGGATGCATTTTTTTTATATATTTGTATTCTGTATATTTGTATTCTTTTTTCACTCTGTCATTTAGGTCATTATTGTGGAGTCACTACAATGTTGTTGATCCATCCTCAGTTTTCTCCCATCACAGCCATTGGACTCTGTAGCTGTTTGGCCTCATGGTGACATCCCTGAGCAGTTTCCTTCTTGTCCTGCAGCTAAGTTCAGAATGACGACTGTATCTTTGATGTGTCTGGGTGGTTTAATACATCATCCAGAGCATAATTATTAACTTGACCATTCTTAAAGAGATATTAAATGTCTGATTTGTTATTGTTACCCATCTACCAATCACTTTATGAGGCATTTGAAAAGCTCCCTGGTAGTTGAATCTGTGCTTAAAATGCAATACCTGACTGAGGGACCTTACAGATGTTGTATGTATGGGGGACAGAGGAAGTGGTAGTCGTTCAAAAATATATATGGATCATTTTGTATAGATCAATTTAAAAAAATCACAATTCAATCTATTTCAATCCCATTTTTTAACGCAGCAAAATGTGAAAAATACCAAGGGGGATGAATACTTATAATACCCACTGTAGCTAACATTTTAGTATTTTTCAGCAAAAGTACACAATAACTATACATAGTTTCCACGATTACATTAGCTTCATCATATGGCTACCCCGAAACGCTAACTATTTTTTTCCCCCTAGTAAGGTCCTTCAAAATCTCACGGTTTTCCTTTACCTTAGCATTGTGCATGGTGACTTGTTGTTTTTGCTGCTCATTTAATGGCATATCGATCCATGTGTCCTCCAATTTTTTTAGGGTGATCTAGTGTTGTATATGTGATGCCGATTTTTCGTATTTGATGAGGTCATTGTTCAGGTTCTTGAGGTCGCAGTAGCAGCCTTCTACCCAATACTCCACCAATTATAAATGTTTCAACTCAATACTTCTTGTATCCCCCCCCACCACCCCACAAATGCACTGTAATTTAAGATTTAAAATTGTAACGCTCTCTCTGCTTCATGGGAAAATGAATGGATTTGAATGGATGGGATGGTAGGCACAGATCGACAAGAGCTTGTGATGCAGTTTTAGCACATTTTGGGATTTTAAGCATAAAAACCTTTTGACAATAGCTTTTTTTATTTGATTAAAAAAGCTACCCTGCCTACCCTGACAGCACATCACTGGCCTATTGTTAGAGTTAGTTAGCGTGCCCTGGTCGGTGGCTTGGTTTCCAGGATGACTCCTCACCTGAGGGATGTGGGTGTGGTTGGCCAGTTTCTGAGCCACACCCTTTAACTGGAGCAGCATGGCCTGCAGGTCTCCTTCCTCCTGACCTATAAACTCTGACCTCTCTGGAGTTTTCACTACCTGGGTCAGGGGTTGCAGCAGCTCCAGGATGGACAGAACCTCCTGGGTCATCTATTGGAGAGAGAGAGAGAGAGAGAACAGATAGATATATACAGTGGGGGAAAAAAGTATTTAGTCAGCCACCAATTGTGCAAGTTCTCCCACTTAAAAAGATGAGAGAGGCCTGTAATTTTCATCATAGGTACACGTCAACTATGACAGACAAATTGAGAATTTTTTTATCCAGAAAATCACATTGTAGGATTTTTCATGAATTTATTTGCAAATTATGGTGGAAAATAAGTATTTGGTCACCTACAAACAAGCAAGATTTCTGGCTCTCACAGACCTGTAACTTCTTCTTTAAGAGGCTCCTCTGTCCTCCACTCGTTACCTGTATTAATGGCACCTGTTTGAACTTATCAGTATAAAAGACACCTGTCCACAACCTCAAACAGTCACACTCCAAACTCCACTATGGCCAAGACCAAAGAGCTGTCAAAGGACACCAGAAACAAAATTGTAGACCTGCACCAGGCTGGGAAGACTGAATCTGCAATAGGTAAAAATAAAATAAATAAATATGCCATTTAGCAGACGCTTTTATCCAAAGCGACTTACAGTCATGCGTGCATACATTTTTTTTAAGCAGCTTGGTTTGAAGAAATCAACTGTGGGAGCAATTATTAGGAAATGGAAGACATACAAGACCACTGATAATCTCCCTCGATCTGGGGCTCCAAGCAAGATCTCACCCCGTGGGGTCAAAATGATCATAAGAACGGTGAGCAAAAATCCCAGAACCACACGAGGGGACCTAGTGAATGACCTGCAGAGAGCTGGGACCAAAGTAACAAAGCCTACCATCAGTAACACACTACGCCGCCAGGGACTCAAATCCTGCAGTGCCAGACGTGTCCCCCTGCTTAAGCCAGTACATGTCCAGGCCCGTCTGAAGTTTGCTAGAGTGCATTTGGATGATCCAGAAGAGGATTGGGAGAATGTCATATGGTCAGATGAAACCAAAATATAACTTTTTGGTAAAAACTCAACTCGTCGTGTTTGGAGGACAAAGAATGCTGAGTTGCATCCAAAGATCACCATACCTACTGTGAAGCATGGGGGTGGAAACATCATGCTTTGGGGCTGTTTTTCTGCAAAGGGACCAGGACGACTGATCCGTGTAAAGGAAAGAATGAATGGGGCCATGTATCGTGAGATTTTGAGTGAAAACCTCCTTCCATCAGCAAGGGCATTGAAGATGAAATGTGGCTGGGTCTTTCAGCATGACAATGATCCCAAACACACCGCCCGGGCAACGAAGGAGTGGCTTCGTAAGAAGCATTTCAAGGTCCTGGAGTGGCCTAGCCAGTCTCCAGATCTCAACCCCATAGAAAATCTTTGGAGGGAGTTGAAAGTCCGTGTTGCCCAGCGACAGCCCCAAAACATCACTGCTCTAGAGGAGATCTGCATGGAGGAATGGGCCAAAATACCAGCAACAGTGTGTGAAAACCTTGTGAAGACTTACAGAAAACGTTTGACCTGTGTCATTGCCAACAAAGGGTATATATATCAAAGTATTGAGAAACTTTTGTTATTGATCAAATACTTATTTTCCACCATAATTTGCAAATAAATTCATAAAAAATCCTACAATGTGATTTTCTGGATTTTTTTTCTCATTTTGTCTGTCATAGTTGACGTGTACCTATGATGAAAATTAGAGTCTCATCTTTTTAAGTGGGAGAACTTGCACAATTGGTTGCTGACTAAATACTTTTTTTACCCACTGTATATATATGAGATTCAAATTTAAACCAAATCAAATTGTATTGGATAGTGTTTATAACAAAAAGATTTGCACCCAGGTAAACTGGCCTAAATTCGGCCGCATAAAACAAGCAGTAGCACCGTGGCAAGGAGAAAACTCATTGGAAATACAATAACACTATGGTGTGTTAGGTCAATGAGCTCTGTGTTATTTTAACACTACAATGTGAATGTGTAGCTCAGGGGCATTGCATTATGCTCAGCCTACATTATGACTACTTGTTTCAAAAGTGTTGAACTCATTACTGAGGAGGAAAGGTAAAATAATAATCAAAAGTGGGTTAACGGTGTTAAAAAGTTGGTGATCCCATTTTCTTGAACTTGACACTTCCTAGGCCTAGATGACATCAGAGGAAGGAATTTTGTAGAGTTCTGTGTTCGTTATTTATATATCTCAATAGTTGAGTTATATACCTCATCTCACTACCTTATGTCTTTCCCTAGAGCAGGCCTCTCCAACCCTGTTCCTGGAGAGCTACCGTCCTGTAGGTTTTCACTCCAACCCTAATCTAGCACACCTGATTCTAATAATTAGCTGGTTGATAAGATGAACCAGGTTAGTTACAACTTGGGTTGGAGCAAAAACCTACAGGAGGGTAGCTCTCCAGGAACAGGGTTGGAGACCCCTGTCCTAGAGCTTTTAAGAGTCAAAGATCACCGTTTTTTTCTTTGAGACTTCTGAGCTCTATAGGAAAAAAACGTCCATAGGTATAACCACTTTAACCTCTTAAGGATCAGACACTTTCTTTTTCAATTTTCGCCTAAAATGACATACACAAATCTAACTGCCTGTAGCTCAGGACCTAAAGCAAGGATATGCATATTCTTGATATAATTTGAAAGGAAACACTTTGAAGTTTGTGGAAATTTGAAATTAATGTAGGAGAATATAACACATTAGATCTGGTAAAAGATCATACAAACAAAAAAAAACGTGTTTTCTATATATTTTCTTTTGCATCATCTTTGAAATGCAAGAGGAAGGCCAGACAGTGATGTAGGATTCTAGATGTAATTTAGATGTTGTCCACCAGATGGCAGCAGTGTGTGTGCAAAGTTTCCAGACTGATCCAGTGAAGAATTGCATCACTACACAATATTTTGTATCAAGTCTGCCTGGAGTTTTCCCAAATGTGCCGAATTGGTTTTCAAGTACATAACTATAGAGAACATACAACAATGCTATGGTAATACAATATTTAAGTTTGCACACTCCCAGGAATGTCATAAATTATGGATCATTAGCTTCCCTACAGAAAATACACTAACCTTTACACATCTAGATGGCCGGGCGGGGTGGGTGTGGAGTCAGAGGTCAAACTGTAGAACCCAGTTCCTACATTTGAATATAAAAATTGATTTTTCAAACAAAACTACACTAGATTTTATCTCTGGGACCCTCAGGATGACAAATCAGAGCAAAATTACTGAATGTAAGTACATTATTTACCTTCAGAGGTGAATGTACCAAACCAGTTGCCATGATAAAAGTGTTTTGTTGTTGTGCACTTTCCTCAAACAATAGCATGGCATTTTTTAGCTGTAATAGCTACTGTAAATTGGACACTGCAGTTAGATTAACAAGAATTAAAACTTTCTGCCCATATAAGACATGTCTATGTCCCGGAAAGTTGGCTGTTGTTTACAACACAATTCTAGTCACATATCGCATATTGAGCAACAACCGTCCCGTATAAGGGACACCGATCCCGTAAAGGTTAACACAAAACCTGACTGAATGTGTGTGCTCTCTGACAGTTCGAGGTAGAAAGATCCATCTAGCTTAGGTGATTCAACCAAGCAGGAAATGTAGACTAGCGAATGACTCATGGGTTCACTAAAAGATCAGTTTCCTGGTATGGAAGAAAACAAACCGAAATAATGACAGAATCAGACAGTCGAAATGTGACAGAATTTGTCTCTTTCTTTCTCACCTTTTAGGCTTGGTTTCAAGCATTCATTATCACAATGTTTTCTACTAATTGTACCCCGTACGCAGGAGCTGTAATACGTTCACACCTCAGTAGCTAGTGGCAGAGCTCTCACAAATAATGTTGCCCTTGTTGTTTCTTTCTCTTTGAAGACAGGACAGACAAGGTAAGAAGTGTTCCTTTACAGAGGTTGGTACTGTACCATCACACAGAGTCACCAAGAACATACCCAGAACGTTCTGTTGCTATGTATCATTCTTCCATTACAGTGTCATGGGAATATTTAAGTGATCAACACCATCTTTAGCATATTTAGAGTTTCTGTAATACACATCACTTCCAGTGTTCAATTTGTGACACTCAAGGTGCGGGTTGATGGTCACTAGACTTGATGCTGAATGTTATGGATTATTCTCATATCTGTTGATAATGATTGACGCCAGACACACTGATTATTCACTGTTTTATTGTATTGATGACATTCTATGGGCACTGTGTGATTCTGTAGAAGCTGACAAAGTCACTGCCTTTTTGCTTTGACTTCCTACAAGCCTCTCAGGCTGGTGTTTACAGAACATTTGGTGCTGTGTGATTAGGATATAAAGGGCCTGTCTCCAAGAGGCCAGTTATTTTCTCTGCTTCTGTGCTGGGTGGTGTTTCCCTGTTGCAACTTGTAATAAACCAGAAAAGACTGCTCTCCTTTTTGTTCACCAGGAAATTCCTATTACATACAGGTAGTGGACTTTGATTGCATGTTTGTGTATCTCAGTATTCTATGTATCTTTCTAACACCTCATACTTTATACACTCTTAGAAAAAAGGGTACAAAATGGTTCTTCGGCTGTCCCCATAGGAGAACCCTTTTTTGCTCCAGGTAGAACACTTTTGAGTCCACGTAGAACCCTCTGTGGAAAGGGTTCTACATGGAACCTAAAAGGGTTCTACCTGGAACCAAAAGGGTTCTATCTGATTTATGTACTAAGACTATGTATGTACCAAGGGTATTAACCGAGGATAAGTGTGCTAACCCTTGCCTTTGTCCTAGGTTCCCTGTATCCTATGTCCCAGGTCCCATGTCTCCTAGTTTCTATAGTGTTACCTGTTCTCTGTCATGGCCCAGGCCCATGGTGTCCAGACTGGTCTCCAGCTCAGACAGTAGGGATGTGTTTCCATGGCTACTCCTGTCCTGCAGGGAGACCTCCTCCTGAAGCTCCTCCACCTGGACCTGCAGCTGCTGGGAACGCCCCCTCGCAGTCGCAGCCTCCTGCCATGCCTCCGCCAGCTACACACACGCAGAGAGGGGCACACGCACATACATCCACACACATCCACACACACACACACACACACACACACACACACACACACACACACACACACACACACACACACAGAAAAACATACAGAGGGAAACACACACAAAGAGAGATACATAAGGTCTGGTCAGTGTCATCTAAAATCAACCACATTATGCAAACACATTGAGATTCAGACCCCATCAGTTTGTCTATTGAAAAGCAGATCTAGCGCTAGAGACACACAAGTATACATAGCATACAAATGTCATCCATCAATCACATATTACACAATATGTGCACTATATCAACATACAGTGCTATTGGAAAAGCTATGTCAAAAATGTAAACCGCCATTGAACCAGCCTGGTGCAGAAACTCCACTACGGCACATGTGTGGAATCCAGCATTACAAGTTGAAATGACATGTGACAATGGGAGGGATGAGTCTATTTTAAAGCAAAGCTTTCCATAGATCAGGGGTTCCCAAACTTTTTATCCCGCACGCACACGCGCCATGTTTATTTCTATGGGCACAAGCACTGTTCATGACACAAACTGTTCACACCTCTCTTTTTGGTGGAGAGAATGTTGCAGGTTTAAAGCTTATTTCCTGCAATTCTACATATTTTGTCATGTCTAATGTGTATTCATGTGATATTTCAGTGACAAAAACATTACAACAATATCTATGGGCAAAAAAAACTACATAAAAAAGCTGACATGGGCTAGTTGATCTGGACATTTCTGACAAGTTATAAATAGCTCTCTAAGGTATGCAATGACTGACATGACAAGAGGAACTGATGATGCACTACCCAATATCGAAATTGCCCCTTGTGCATTCTACTATTACAACTTTCAAGAGTAAGTTTAGTTCCTTTAAAAAAACATGTTTTTATTTCTTTGGGTGGGAGGGGAGGGGGAACCACTGCCATACTCAGAGAGTGGAAATTACGCTGCTGTTAAACCCCAATTACCAAAGTGTATCTCAGGGTCACTTAGGCAACTGTGCACTATTGACGTGATATTAGTGAGTAAACAAGGAGAAAGATACCAAAACTATATTCTGTGTTTTTACCTGTTGGCTCTGCTGCTGGTTGTGTTGGTCCTGTAGAGCTATGCGTGTGTGTAGGAAGGCCAGGCTGTCTCGTAGGTCTGCGTTCTCCTGACACACACTCTCCAGCCGCTCCTCTAGAGCCTGCTCTTTCTGGGACAGACGCACCACCTGGACCCACACAGGGAGCGAGATAAAGTGTGTGTGTGTTTTTGTTTAACAATCCTTGTGGGTACCAGAAGTCCTCACAAGGATAGTAAAACAAGAAAAATTCTGACAATTGGGGACATTTTGCTGGTCACCAAGAGGAAAAACGCTATTTTAGGGTTAGGGGTTTGGGGTTAAGGTTAGGCTTAGGGTTAGGGTTAGGTTAAGAGTTAAGGTTAGGGTTAGATTTAGGGTTAGGGGTTAGAGAAAATAGGATTTTGGATGGGAATCAATTATTTGTTCCCCACAAGGATAGCAATACAAAACTGTGTGTGTGTGTGTGTGTGTGTGTGTGTGTGTGTGTGTGTAGCCTACCTGCTCCCTCATGGCACTGAGCAGCTCCTCGTCCTGTGGTCTGTTGTGGTGGCCTCTCTGTTGAAGCTCCTGTTTCAGGGTCTGCAGCTCACTGGTCATCGCCCTCTCCACCTCCATCGCCTAGACCGCAACACAGACAGGCACCAGAGACAGGAGAGAGGTATTAGATATACATACAGAGAGACAGGAGAGAGGTATTAGATATACATACAGAGAGACAGGAGAGGGGTATTAGAAATAGTGGTGTGAAAAAGTGTTTGCCCCCTTCCTGATTTGTTATTTGTTTGCATGTTTGTCACACTTAAATGTTTCAGATCATCAAACAAATTTAAATATTAGTCAAAGATAACACAAGTAAACACAAAATGCAGTTTTGAAATGGTTGTTATTATTAAGGGAAAACAAAATCCAAACCTACCAAATCCAAACCCTGTGTGAAAAAGTGTTTGCCCCCCCTGTTATCACACAACTCAACTGTGGTTTATCACACCTGAGTTCAATTCCTCTAGCCACACCCAGGCCTGATTACTGCCACACCTGTTCTCAATCAAGGAATCACTTAAATAGGACCTGCCTGACAAAGTGAAGTAGACCAAAATATCCTCAAAAGCTAGACATCATGCTGAGATCCAAATAGATTCAGGAACAAATGAGAAAGAAAGTAATTGAGATCCATCAGTCTGGAAAAGGTTGTAAAGCCATTTCTAAAGCTTTGGGACTCCAGCGAACCACAGTGAGAGCCATTATCCACAAATGGCGAAAACATGGAACAGTGGTGAACCTTCCCAGGAGTGGCCGGCCGACTAAAATTACCCCAAGAGTGCAGCGACGACTCATCCAAGAGGTCACAAAAGACCCTACAACAACATCCAAAGAGCTGCAGGCCTCACTTGCCTCAGTTAAGGTCAGTGTTCATGACTCCACCATAAGAAAGAGACTGGGCAAAAATGGCCTGCATGGCAGAGTTCCAAGACAAACACTGCTGAGCAAAAATAACATTAAGGCTTGTCTCATTTTTGCCAGAAAACATCTTGATGATCCCCAAGACCTTTGGGAAAATACTCTGTGGACTGACGAGACAAAAGTTGAACTTTTTGGAAGGTGTGTGTCCCATTACATCTGGCGTAAAAGTAACACCGCATTTCAGAAAAAGAACATCATACCAACAGTAAAATATGGTGGTGGTAGTGTGATGGTCTGGGCCTGTTTTGCTGCTTCAGGACCTGGAAGACTTGCTGTGATAAATGGAACCATGAATTCTGCTGTCTACCAAAAAATCCTGAAGGAGAATATCCGGCTATCTGTTCATGACCTCAAGCTGAAGCGAACTTGGGTTCTGCAGCAGGACAATGATCCAAAACACACCAGCAAGTCCATCTTTGAATGGCTGAAGAAAAACAAAATGAAGACTTTGGAGTAGCCTAGTTAAAGTCCTGACCTGAATCCTATTGAGATGCTGTGGCATGACCTTAAAAAGGCAGTTCATGCTCGAAAACCCTCCAATGTGGCTGAATTACAACAATTCTGCTAAGATGAGTGGGCCAAAATTCCTCCACAGCGCTGTAAAAGACTCATTGCAAGTTATCGCAAACGCTTGATTGCAGTTGTTGCTGCTAAGGGTGGCCCAACCAGTTATTAGGTTCTAGGGGGCAATCACTTTTTCACACAGGGCCATGTGGGTTTGGATTTTAATAACAACCTTCATTTCAAAACTGCATTTTGTGTTTACTTGTGTTATCTTTGACTAATATTTAAATTTGTTTGATGAGCTGAAACATTTAAGTGTGACAAACATGCAAACAAATCAGGAAGCGGGCAAACACTTTTTCACACCACTGTACATGCAGAGAGACAGGAGAGGGGTATTAGAAATACATACAGAGAGACAGGAGAGACCAGAGAAAGAGGCACCAGGTTCAGGAGACATGAGATGAAAATACCTGAGACTAAAAATGGTAGAGACATTTAAGTTACTAGATATTAGATCCAGAGATAAATATCTAAAATAGACATAATATGAGGAAGTGTAATATAAAATCATAGATATTAAATAAGTGAATCTGTATTATTGGTTGCTGTGAGCTATGCTGAAAATGGAAAACTAAGATCACATAATACAGTCAGAGGAATGGTTATTGCCTCCAGCACATGTGCTTATGTTTTCGCCATAACAAAATAACTAGAAACTTCTCTCTGTGGGACCGTTGTTCCATTAACTACAAGATGGCATAGTAAGCAATTATTGACATATGCCTACACTACACAAAAAATTGCTATCTAGAACCTAAAAGGGTTCTTTGGCTGTCCCCATAGGATAATCCTTTGAATAACCCTTTTTGGTTCCAGGTAGAACCATTTTGGTTCCAGGTAGAAACTTTCTGAGTTCAATGTAGAACCCTTTACACAGAGGGTTCTACATGGAACCAAAAAGAGTTCTACCTGGAACCAAAAAGAGTTCTACCTGAAACCAAAAAGGGTTCTCCTATGGGGACAGCTGAAGAACCCTTTTGGAACCCTTTTTTCTAAGAGTATACCGAGAGTTTTGAGGAAAACAAAAGTTTTCTCCTTTACTAAAAAGGTTATATGCCATAGGTTTCAATGTAGAACTCATTTTGTGGGCTTGTTAAAAAACAAAATAAAAACATTTCCAAATACAAAAGCGAGAGAGACAGGAATGTATTGGCACTGTGCCAGTTCTTTGGCCCCCTAACCCTAACCCCCACCCCCAAACACACACACACACCCCTGGTCCCCCTGACTCAGCAGTATGGCGGGCCCCTGTCAGCTCCCATCACACACACACACAATACAGGATGAACGGGCCACAGCAGATGGAGCGACTGGGGAATCTTGGTCTTGGCAGTGACATCACCATGCCATGTTAGGCACAAAACATTGGGGATGTTATTGGGGGGGTGGGGGAGGCTGGGTAGTTGAATGAGCATTGGAGGACAGAAACAAAAACAGGGGGCATGTAGACACACACTATAGGGGGAGTGGCAAGGATGCACGTTTGCGTCAATCAGCCCCAGAGTCCAATCCATGGCTTATCTTGGCCTGACTATGGACAATGGAGCAAGCGGCCCACTAGGAATCCACAGAGGGACGCTCCATTTGTTAGGGACACAAAATCAAACACAACCCCCCCTTGAGCTCCAAGACTTGGCCTTCCCTTGTCTAAACTGTGATGCACATAGCAGATGACTCCTACCGGAGTAGTAGACCCCAAGGGACCTCTCAGAGTGGTGGGACAAAGCATAGCATCCCCCTGGGATGGGAGGGCTCATAGATAGCAGTAGCACAAACATCATGTGAGGAACCCCCTCAATGGAAAGAGTGATAGATTTATATCTTCTCCAATGATAGTTCTTCCTAGCGCCTCCCTCTCTAAGCAGTGTAACGCTGTCTGAGTCAAAGGTCAAACAAGGGTGTCTAATTTTACATAAACGTAAATCAGGAGTGAGGGATATAACAGGTGCCCTCACCATGGAAATCATCCTGTTGGCCATATCCCAAAGAAAAGTGAGGGTGTTTCAGGTTACAGAGTAATTTTATTGGTGTCTAAATCTAAAGTTGAAAGCCTTAGCTAAACCCTTTGTGGTTTAATGTATTTTTCACCTGTAGAATGGCATGATTCATCACTAAAGTGATAAAAAGCAATTTTACTCACTTCCTTGTTTGAGACATGTGCACTGGTTTCTTTTCTTATGTTGGAAAAATAAATGATTTCCTTGGAGGCCTTTTCCTGTAAGTTATATTGGACAATAACGTCATTTCTGAAAAGGTACTACCAAACAGAGAGATAGGCTACACATTTAATCAACCAAGGGTTGTTCTCATTTCCATCTTATGAAACTGTAACCGTACTCCCTTCAGAGTAACACGTTCCTTCGCCAAAAATATGTCTACATCATGTTATTTCAATGCAAGTGTTTGACTTGAGCTTCCACAGAAAATCTGTATGAAGTACACTAGAACTAACAGAAGTGAATGCTAGACTCTGGGTGAAGCATTGTTCACAGAGGAATAATTATTAGGCATTCTATGGAACAGTGAGGCCAAGATCCATCAATACTTTTGTATAATTTGCATGTTCAAGTTGAAAACTGCTGACAGGATAGAGAATCAAACAATAACAATGACACTGCCAGGCAGTCATAGATGTCTAAATACAAATTTCCTCTCACACTCAACTGTATGAATAACATTTATATATACAGCAAAACCTGATAACGAACCAGTCTCTGACTGGCGAAGATCAACATAGTTTGCACACTTCCTTTACAACCGAGGTGAACAGCAACAGTAAGCATATCCAGTGGTCTCTAGAAATACACTACATGATCAAAAGTATGTGGACACCTGCTCGTCAAACATCTCATTCCAAAATCATGGGCATTAATATGGAGTTGGTCCCCCCTTTGCTGCTATAACAGCCTCCACTCTTCTGGGAAGGCATTCCACTAGATGTTGGAACATTGCTGCGGGACTTGCTTCCATTCAGCCACAAGAGCATTAGTGAGATCGGGCACTGATGTTGGGCGATTAGGCCTGGCTCGCAGTCGGCATTCCAATTCATCCCAACGGTGTTCAATGGGGTTGAGGTCAACATTGTCATGATGAAACAGGAAATGGCCTTCCCAAACTGTTGCCACAAAGTTGGAAGCACAGAATCGCCTAGAATATAATTGTATGCTGTAGCGTTAAGATTTCCCTTCACTGGAACTAAGGGGCCTAGCCCAAACCATGAAATACAGCCCCAGACCATTATTCCTCCTCCTCCAAACTTTACAGTTGGCACTATGCATTGGGGCATGTAGCATTCTCCTGGCATCTGCCAAACCCAGATTCATCCGTCGGACTGCCAGATGGTGAAGCATGATTCACCACTACAGAGAACGTGTTTCCACTGCTCCAGAGTCCAATGGCGGCGAGCTTTACACCCCACCAGCCGACGCTTGGCATTGCGCATGGTGATCTTAGGCTTGTGTGCAGCTGGTCGACCATAGAAACCCATTTCATGAAGCTCCCGACGAACAGTTCTTGTGCTGACGTTGCTTCCAGAGGCAGTTTGGAACTCAGTAGTGATTGTTGCAACCGAGGACAGACGATTTTTACGCGCTAT